TTATCATGTAGCATAATCAATTGGTCACATCCTCCTCCTCTTGTCAGTAAACAATACCATCACCAACACTCTGTGATAGTATTATTGCAAATGAAATTTAATTTATTTTATATTCAAGATAATTTGGAAATTTGAGCAAAACTTTTATTTTAAATGTTTAATTATTTTGCCAAATCCATTGAGAGTAATACTTTTTGTTCATCTAAAATTTGTTTTATTTCATATAGCGTTGCTCTGAGCCTAGGAGGCCATTCCTTAAAGTGCATGTGGTCCATGTGCATTTAGGTTTGGGCAGGAGAATGAAGATGTAATTAGATATTTGGTTATATTTGGAGTCTTTCAATTCTAATGACTTTTATCATTTTGGTACCAGCGAGTTTTTTTGATTAAACTTGTACATTATACCAGAGCATGTCTCTTATTAGCTAGCTTAGGTTTTTTTCCCCATAGCAATTTAGGTTATATAAATATAATTTTAAAAAATAAGTAGTGTTGGGCATTGGAAATATTTAGCAAGTAAAAGGTCATGTCTTGTATCTATCAGCCTTGTTTTTGCCTAAAAGAAGAGAAATAGTGTATCATGAACTCTGTGCTACTGGAGAACAAACATTCCCTTCAGAAATATGTTGTCTGTTTTTTTGATTGATTAAAAAAAAAAGGTATTGTCGTTTAGGCCTAGTTCCTGATGAAAAGAAACTGCCAATTTTCCTGCTCTAGTAACACAACCCCTTGCCTTGTGCACATCCATTCTCTCTAGTAGCACAGGGCTTACAATACTGATGGAACATTTGTCTGAGTTATTTCCTGAACAGAATTATGTGGTTATAGTGAGAGACACCATTTCCTAAAGCAGTTTTAAGGGTTTTTTTTTTAAAAAAATATTTTTGAATAGTTTGCATTTGAAGATGTAAGTGCTTGCTTTGTTTTTATTTCTATCCTATGGTTGTTAATTCATTCCATGCTGTGCTGGGGATTGAACCCAGGTCCTTCCAGGTGCCAGACAAATCCTCTGACACTGAGCTTTATTCCTGGTCCCGAATACTTTGTTTTTAAAACTTGGTTTTTTACTGTTTTCTTGGAGATGAGGTGGGGCATTGTGTTCTGTACACTGTGATACATGCTGGACTTCCACTTGAATACTCAGACATACACAGTTAAAGTGTGACTTCTGCGAATCGTTCCATAAGGACCATTGCATATGATAATCCATCGGTTCATCGTAAGTGTTACAGGAAAGGAGCATGCTCAGAGTGCTTCTCAAAGACCCGCCCTTACTTGTTAACTCGTTCTAATACCCTGTGCTGATTGAATCACTATAGAGACGTCAGAACGTTAGAACAGAGGAAGGCGAGCACATCGTTCTGATGACCTCCCCTTCTATTGTCCCACACTGTAAGGCATGCACATTAACAGCACACACATTTTGACAATGATTCTTAATGTTAATTTTAAAGAAATGAAGATGGCTGAGAGCAGACCATAATTTAACCAACTCCATTATTTCCTCCTAAGGATGCCTGTCTGAGAAGATATTTTCTAGGGTGGGTAAGCGTGCTGTGGTTTTAAAGGGAAAGCCTTCTGGTTTCTTAGCCAGCTAGGCCTCTGTTTGCATGATGTGATGCTCGGGGAGAGGAAGTAACCGATGTGGAGGATGTTCCTCTGAGTACTCAGTTTACAGTGAACATGGCCTGTTCCGTTCTCTACACTTATCCTAAAAATAAAGACAGATGGAGTTCTGTAGTGGATTCAGCTGGTTCTTTTCTGTCCAAAGAATATACCCTTTAGGGAATATCTATTAGAGTATAGCTTTTAGTTCTGGTCTCAGATCATTAACATAACTTACAAGTATGCAATGTGAGGATGCTCAAATACTAAGATAAAGGACTGCCACCTTTGTAAGTATTTGGTATATGTTCATAGGTTGAGTTGCTTCTTACCTGATTAGTTCAGTTTGAGGCTTTGTACATTTTTCTATAGAAAACAATAGACATAAGTCATGTAGCCTGCTGGAAACTTCAAAATGTCCCTGCTTTGCTGTTGGAAAGCCAATAATAGTTATTGCTCTTTTCCTGATACTAACTTAAGGAAATAAGTAATGTCTTCTTGTAGAATCCTTCCTATCTCCTTGCATGCTCCTTTGGAGTGGCTCCGTCACCTCTCTCTCCATCAGAACAAGTTACTCATGTCTTAGACTCCATGTGCTATTTTCCTGACATTTCTTTGCCTGCGGTTGCGTGGGCAATGTTCTTGTCCCCTCTGTCAATCTAGGCAGTGACCCATTGTCTCCCACCTCTTAGCAACAATCTACTCCACAAACCTGCTAGCCTTTGAAGGTGTCTTTATTCATGTCATCGTTTGAAACAAGAGTTTGCTGTTTATTGCGCAAGTCACGTTTGCTTTTTTAACTCATTTTTCATAGTAAACTTGAATCACTTCTTGGCCACTCCCTGCCCCCATTCCTTTCATAGCAGCTCGCTCCTCAACCTCTCGCTTCACAGCACTCTAGAGAAACTTCTCTTTTGAGGTACACACAAGTTTTTAATAAAACCAAACAAAGCAAAATTAAAAAAAATAAGAATAAACATCACATCTAAACTGACTCTTTGCCTCTATCTGATCCCTGTTGGACCATTGGTTAGTGGCCCCTATTGTGTCCCCAAACCTGACTTCTGGGCCTTGCTTGGCTAGAGCATCTTAGTAAGTAAAGAAGCACAGATGTACATCATTTTCATGGCTTCCTCCTGTTCTCCACCATCTCAGATACCTAAGTACAACGTGGAAGTTTTGCACATTCCTCAGGTCTTAATGCTCTTCTCACCGCCTCAACTCTGACCGACATTAGTGCCCACATCAAACCCAATACACGTTAACCACACACTTCCTTGTTTTATCTCCAACAACTTTTTCAGTTTGATTAATGAAATCTAGCGTGATGTACACTCACTCACTGGACCCTGCTGTCTGACACTTTTCTCCATCAGATGCTCGCTAGATTCTGCTTTCTGTTCCTCGTCCCCACAACTGAGACTCAGTTCACCACACAAACGTGAACTTTCTATCGGTTTCTCACTTCTTCAACTTTCTTAGCACTTTAACAGCCAATTGTTCCCTACAAAACAGTGATTTTTTTTGTCTTCTTTTCTTCCCTTCAATCTTCCTTTACCCATGTTTGTTCCTTATTCCACCGACTTCTCTTTTTGCTTGGTGTGCTCACTAAGCGTTAAAGGCCACCTTGGTGCTTACTAAAGAGAATTACGGGGGACTCAGGAAGGCAACCATTAATGCCAAAAAAGCAACAGCCTAGAAAATGAATGATTTATGTCTGAATGCCCCAAACCCTGCTTCCCCTTCCTAGTCCCTGTGTGCTGAGGACATTGGTGGGGTCCTAACACTCTCCCTCTAGGTAAATGTCAGCAATTGAGATCATGCCTTTTAGGTGACAGGAAGAACTTAAGGAGGTCCATACTAAATGTTGATTAATGCAGTACCTTGTGGACTCTTGGTGTGGTGGAGTGGGAGTCCCAGAATGTGGGCAGTGAGCACCACACACACACGCACACGCACACACACACAGTGCTCTAAGACATTGCATGTGTGTGTGTCTTGGTTATTCTCACAATCACTTACAAGCATTATTCTGTTCTTCAGAAGAAGACCCAGAGACTAGGAAGTAGGTTTGTTACACAGGATTATGGAGTTGTTTACTGTCACGACTAGGATACATTCCAAGCTCTCTCAGCCCTATGCATGGTACACTATGGGGCTGTAGCTGTCCTGAGTGGTGACTAGTGTGTGGACCTTTGATCTTTTACCATCCCTGTCTGGACCTCTTTCGGTCGATTTGGACCCTTTGGAACATTAAGAATTAGCAGAGGGATATAGAACAAGAAGTCAACAGGAAATGCAAATGCGTATTATTTCTAGCACCGTGTAATTGAATTGTAGCCTGAACTGGAGAGTGAACATGGCGCTTGCCCACCTGCTTCGGAAGCACGGTGTTTGTTCTGTATGCAGGAACACACAGAATTCCCTGGGCAGTGCTGCTGGTCCTCACTTCTGAAGGTTTTGGCTGTTGCCGATGATAAACATATCTCCTAAGAGGAGTTCTTCAGGATAAGAGGCGAGGAGGCAGGGGAGGCCTTCGCATGGACAGTGCTGTACAAAGGGTAACAGAGGGGAGATATAGTGAAAGGTCCAGCTGAGAAGTAAATAACTTTACGCAGAAAGTGGAAAGCAAAAGATGTCAAGGAGAAATTAACATTGAAAAATTTAAGCCAGTCCTAGCCTGAGTTAGGTCACACCTTGGACAGTTACATTTGGCTAAGGGTAAATCCAGCTCAATGCTAGACTTATATTCATTACTCAGTGACTCCGTAATTTGTTTTCTCACAAGGGAAGAAGTCGTGCTTGAATTTGCCATGATCATTTGAGGAGTCTGGGGTCTAAAATGGAAGAGCAATAGTGAGCATCTCAGACTATGTGTTTCTAGCTACTTAACTTACACACGGTGATTCTTATGCCTTCCTTTTTTGTCATCTGGAAATAAATATTAATATATCTTACACAGTCATGTTGAAGTAAGTGTAGTACCCTTTTCTGAAGGTAGTTGAAGGTCCTAGTAAGATTTTTTTCCCCTAAAAACAAAACACACTCTATTGCTGTATATCTGAGACCAAGCTCACTAAGGAAATAATATCATTATTCTATGCCATATTAAAATTTAGACAATGAAAAATCTTTCAATAGCCAGAACTTACTCTGCAGGGTACGCCCACATCAAATGCTTCAGGCCAGCTGGTACTTTATTTTTGGTTTTTACTTTAGCATGTTCCAAACTGGAAAAACAGGGGTGTTGCCGGTGGAGGTTGAGGCGAGTTGCAGAGCAGGCCGATGCCGGCCCCGCAAACAGGCATGGAGAGGCCGTGACTAGTGTGTGCCAGGAGTATGACATGTACCCCCAGCCCTGCGAACTGGCTTCAGAGGCATTTGCTGTCTTCCAGGATGAATCTTCAAGTCATGAATGTAACCAGCGCACAATCCTTCTCTATGGAGTCGGAAAAGAGCGTGACGAAGCCAGGCATCAGCTGAAGAAGATTACCAAAGATATCCTGAGAATCCTGAACAAGAAGAGCACCACGGAATCAGGGGGTAAGGAAGCCCCAGGGCCCTGGCTCCTGCTGCCTTTCTTTGTGTCCCCTGTTCTCACAGGCTTTATCAGAGTGGCCCACGACACTGCCACCAGTGTTTCCTCTCTTGAATGACTGTCACACTGAAATATGAATAGGCACATTTGCATTTTTAAGATCTTGTGCTCATTGCTAGCGACCTTTGTGTTAACCAGCCGCCTCCTGTAGGTAGACAGAGCGAGTTCCATGTGTGTACCGTGTTTTCTGTGGTCGTCACTGTGGATGATGGGCCGAATAATGAGATGGAAGGCTGTGCCTGCCAGCAATCGTGTTACTTCTTCTTTGCATCATTTTACAAGTTTGTGGTTGGCTGTTTCTTTGTCCTCTCGTGTTTCACGTTAGATGCAAATCATGGCCCAGTTAGTGATTTTGTGTTACTCAGCAAGAGAGTGGCAATAGTAGTCATGGCAAAGTCTCTCACCAGATAACTCCAGGTGGCAGAGGCATGTGATCTTCAACAGTAGTGCCTTTGTGACTTGGCATTCTCTCTCTCTGTTCTTTTCACATGCTTTTCATTTCCTGAGCTTTGCTCCCATATTGTGTCACCGCCTTGCATAATTGGGGTCGTGCAAGTACCTACTTCATATTTGCCCAGTGACTCTTTGCGAGGCTTACATCGTTTTACAGTCGCGGTGTAGAGCATGGCACCACTTTATATCTTAGTGCCACCGCCGGTCTTTCCCTCCCTGACCCGTCAGTCGTATAAAGGAGGAAAAGGGTTGCATTTCCCCTGTGTGGAGAGCTCACTTTCCTAATGGGGGTTTTCCTTCTTGAGAAGAAACCTCTGGGAACCCTTTCTGTTTTTGAGACTTTAACAGGATAAACTACTAGGGCCTGCTTATGTATGCTAGGCTTTTCCTAAAAGTTGAGATACTTGAGATAGATTTTTTTTTCTGCCATCAGCATGGATGCTCTTGCCTGAGCACGGCAGGCCTACCCGTGTGCGCTTCTGCCTGTTTTCTGGGGCCCCAGTGTCCGAGGGACAGAGTCCGAGGCCATGCGAACACAGGGGTCCTCATGTGTGATCTCCATCCCATGCCCTGCCTCCCTTCCCGTGCCAGTTCAGGGCCCGCAAACACGCCATCATTATGAGAAATGACCAAGAGCAGAGAAAGGGAAATGAAATTGTGTTTTGTTGGCTTCTCGTGAGCTTGGACAAGAAACTGCTCTGTCTAAGAAAACCATTTATCAGTTGTGCTGTGTTCTCCCTCTCAGAGAAAAGAGGAAATGAATTGCGTCAGAAGATTGAATTTAGAAGCCTTGCAGTGAGCTAGCAACGGACCTTCAGAGCAGCTTTTGGTGTAGTTGGCATGGGGGTAGGGGGTGCTGATGCCTGCAGGAGGCACAGTCATGCTTAACTTAGCCAGTTAGAGTAGAGGGCCTTGGCAGACCTCTGAAATTTCTAGATAAAGAAAGACCAAAGGAGGTTGGAAGGGGAAGGAAACAGTGTGGTGTCTTTTCTGCTGAGCCTACTTCCTTCCTTCATAGTTTTAATGCCAGATCATTGTCTGTTCTGTCTTTGCACCAAACCCTTAAGTAGACATTGCTTGCATGTGGACTAGAAAAAAGGACACTTCCTGTCCAGTGTTCCAAAGTATCAATCACTTCAAAGTGGCATCCCCAGAGGGTATTTTTTTTCCTTCCATTTTAATGATACTAATTTCAGATATAGTGCCCTGCCACCTAATAAACAGTCTTCATTTTAAGTTATTAGTTAAGATTTTGTTTATACCCCAGAAGTTAGCCAGCTGTACTTGGGGCAATGGAAATTTGTCCACACACACACACACACACACACACACACACACACACACACACACACCCCACGCACAATCCTACACCTACCTTACTCAGCAGAATGAAGATTAGTAAGGAAAAGATTTTGTTGTTGGGAAAACAAAACTTAGGCTTTTGAGGAGCACTTGAAGACACTTGGAGAACCAGCCACATTTCCCCTCAGGGTTTCTAACATGAAGTCTTTTGTTGTTATGATTTGGCCTTTTCAGATAGGGTCTTCTGCTTTCCAGGCAGACTGGAATTTAAGGGGTTACCCCGTACTTCTTTTCCCCTTGCTTCTGTCTCTCACATTCTAGGATTAGAGGCTTGCACCACCATGCTCTCTGTGTGTGAGGCTAGGGACTGAACCATGCCTGTGAGCCTGCTATGTGAGCAGTCTCCCAATTTAGCTCCCTCTGTTCCCCTAACTTAAAGTTTAAACAGCATTTCAGTTAACCACCCAGGTTTCATGTCCAGTTTACCATAAAGGTCAGCACTTTCAGAATTTAAAGGCTTAAAAATTTAATGTAAAATTTAAGGAGGTGAAGAGGAATAATGTGTGTCATGAAAACAGGAAAATAGGTATGAAAACCCTTTATATTAACAATGTATTGTTACGTGTGCAAATGACATTGTAATCGTTCATTTAGAGCCACCGCTAAATACCAGGATTCTTTCTTAACTGCAAGACTCAATTATATCTTTTCAGTTGAGCTTGCATGGCATTTCGTGTGTCAGTAATGGAGCCTGTTTGCACAAATGAGTAAAAAAAAAATGCACTTGAGGATTTGTAGCAAGACCTACCCCCTCAAGTCTTTTGTGTTTGTTTTGGCCTTAGGAAGACTTCATGATTGTAAGCATTTTGCACACAAGAACAATAGTCCAACCTTTTCAGTTTTGCATGATGCGAGGGAATTGAAAACCTGATCAGAACCCAGATCTCTCAAGCATGGTTATGACACATATTCCAGGAATTTAATGAATTTGCTAGTTCTTATATGTATCGTGTTTGGTGTCATTTGGCAGAAGTGGAATTTTAACATGTTTTACCGGCACTTTTATGGTCGTGCGTGTGTGTGTGTGTGTGTGTGTGTGTGTGTGTGTGTGTGTGCTTATGAAGGTCAGAAAACAGCTTCAAGTATCATTCTTCCAGCTCCCTCCGCTGTGTGCTTGTTTGATTTGAGACATGGTCATTTGCTGGCTTGTAACTCAGCAACTAGTCTGTACTAGTTCTACCTCCCAGTGCTGTGGTTATAGGCAGGTGTCCCCACTCCTAGACTTGTTTTTAAACACTGGTTCTGGGATCTGCACTCAGAGCCTTAACTGAACTGTCTCCCCTGCCCAATGCTAGCACATCTTACTAATTCATTTATTCTGGTATCACTTTCTCTGTTGTATCAAATTGAAGCAAGCTGACTGGGTTTGTTTTTCTATTTGGCTTACTGTCCAAAGTGAAGTCACTTCTGATGTCATTTTGTCAAGCATCACATTTGACATGAGCAAAGTAGTGTGGAGTAACCTGGAATATTGCTGTCCTCTTATACCTTCAGTAGAGACATAAAAGACATGTGCTGTCTGAACTGATGTCCCCAGAGGAGAGTGGGTCACAGAGCTCCTTCTGAGTTGCTGCTGACCAGGTAGCACACAGCGCTGGTAGATAGATATCCCACAGCCCAGCCTTTACTCTGCCTTCAAATCCGTAGATGCAATCCTGTATACATAGATACAACCCTGTTTCTAGATACCACATTGTAGTTTTGTATTTTGTCCTTAGCTGTGAAGAAAACAAAAGTTCCCCCAAATAAGCAAAGTTGTGTACATTTCTTTATAAATAAATATGCATGCATATTTAATTTAGCTAGAAAAATAGCTGAGGTGAAGCTAAGAGGCAGTAAAATGGCTCGGTGGACAAAAGAACTTTCCAGCAAGCCTCAGGACCTGAATTTAATTATAGTTAATTACATAAATATTTAATATATTTATATAAGTATAAAATATATTTAATTAAATTAAATGGTTCCTGCACGTTTTCCTCTGTCCTCCCCTCATGTTCCATGGTGACTGCATATGAACACATTAAATAAATAATAGGTAATTTTTATAAATAATAGCCTGAAATATGACCTGTTTAATCATAGTGGGCCTGGTGCTCCCCCATGGTCATTTATTGTTGATATTGTATTTTTGCAGTCAATTAATGATTAATGTTCATAGAGGCACTTTATGGTACCTAGAATCTAGTCATTATTCACTAGAATTGATATATAATGATCTGTATTCATAAATTGGAATGATGTATGTAAGGATTATTAAATCTTAGAACAAAATTGAAATTAACTCCACAATGAACCAATCCAAAAGCATAATGCTGAGTGAAAATTTCCACCCACTCAAGATGGAAGATCTCCAAATCTTTGTCCCCCGGGGGAAGGAGAGGTAATTTAGAGGGGAATAAATAGGTGGGCTTCTGAGATGTTATTTCATGATTTAGATCTCATTCATGTAAAAAAAATGGAGAGTGTATATGCTGTCTTCTATATATTCTCTACTTCAGTTTAAAAGTACCGTGAAAACCTGGGGACAGGAAGGTAACTCAGTAAAGCGCCAGGACACACCGAAACATGGCTGGGCAGGATGGAGCCTGGTCTCTATCCCATTGCTAGGTGTGTGTGGTGGGGTGACTGGATATGGGCAGACCTCTTCTTCTCCTTAACCAGCCAGTCTAGCCTACTTGGTGAGTTTCAGCCGGTAAGATATCCGGTCACTAAATAAAATAAGACGGTGATATCGCCTGAGGGGTAACTCCAGATGTTTTCCTCTGGTCTCCATACACGTGTAATAATATGTGAGCATACACACACACATTAAAAAAAAAGTTTCTTGAAAAACACAGAGAGCTTTGTTTAAGTGGAAAGTAACACATGTTATGTTTATTTAGTTGGGGATGAAGGACAGAAAGCCAGGAAGAACAAGCAGGAAGTTTTTCCCACCCCGGAAACTGTGTTCACGAAACTCCAGCTCCTCTCGTACTTTGATCAGCATCAAGTGACATCACAGGTAGCCATTCCAGGCTGTTTTGTCACCCATTTTGAATACTTCTCCTTCCTTAAAAATCTCGAGCAGTGTACTTTGAGCCTTGATTTTTATAAATACTCCTTATAGACCTGGAAGCCTCTCAAGCTTCATGTTTAAGTCTCAGGTTGCCTCCTTCAACATGTGTTTATATTCTGTAAGTATTTTTTATTCACAATAATCAGCAATATGCAAAAATAATAATTATAATTGTAATAATAATTATATAATAAAAATAATAAAATAATTTCTAATGTACTTACTTTATGGCATGCTGACCCAATATCATCACTATTGACGAAAGGGAAACCTGTTGATGATTTAATTAAAACATTGTGAAACTGAGAAGAGATCTATTGTTCTTCAGTTAACACTTCGTGGTGTCTGGGGATTAACACTTCTGGGTGCTTCTCCTTTGGGCTCACTAGTATGTGATTATATTGCAATTCATTTTACTTTTTTAAATTGTGATTATAAGAATGATTTGTAAATGTTTGATTTCTATGTAAGCACATTCTAATTCCTAAGTAGAATCCCATGAATTCATATTTGTTACTTTAAAAATCAAACTAATTGATCTTCCTGAAGCATCATGCAGACGGTGGTAGTGTGACTTCCTTTGCTTTTGTCTGAGCAGATCTCTAACAACGTGCTGGAGCAAATCACAAGCTTTGCGTCAGGAACATCCTATCACCTGCCTCTGGCTCACCATGTCCAGCTCATCTTTGATCTCATGGAGCCGGCGCTGAACATCAATGGACTAATTGACTTTGCAATACAGGTGTCAAAAAGACTGCCTTTCTCATATTTAGGAAAGCATGTTTTTTTAAATTTTCTATTTATTGATCTAAAAATCAGAACAACACTCTCTTGTTCAGATCTTCTGAACTCTCCATCTGAAGTGACCTCACTACTCAGTGTCTGAGTACCTGAGTAAGCTTGTGACCTGGCTTAAGTTTATTTTTTTAGACTTTTTTATGTAGATGGGTAACCTACCTGCATGCATATGTGCACAATGTGTGTTCCTGGTGCCTGTGGAGTTCAAAAGAGGTCACTGGATCTCTTGGAAGTGGAGTTAAGATGCTTGTAAGACACCATGTGGGTGCTGGTACTGAACCTGAGTCCTCTGAAGGAACAGACAGTGCTCTTAACCACCAAGCCATCTATCAAGTCCCTTAAATTTATTTTCTAGCTTGCATAAATAAAATGTTAAAAAAAAATTTGTAGGTTTCTGGGGTGCCATATGATGCTTCAAAACATGTATGTGTTATGAATATTCTTGTATCAAGCTAAACATACCTGTGTCTCAAATATCATTTATTGATATGAGCTGTCAAGAGTCTTTTTCCCTTAATTTTACCAGTATAGCACATGCTATTCCTAGATTCACCCTGCCATGTTACAGCACATAAGAATATCTTGCCCCTATCTAACTGAACTTAGTATCCATTGGTAACCCTTCCCTAGTCACGTCTCTACCCCAGCTCTCTTTGTCCTCCTGGAACCACGTCATGTCTTCAAACATGCACCAGTTTCATTGTCTGAAACCATTTTCAGCACCTAGTGCATTTTGAAGCGCTGGAGCCATTCTGAGCCAACAGTTTCCGTGTTAGGTCGTAATCGGTGCTAGTAACACACCTGCCATTCAGAACTACATCGACTTCAGGGTCTTTTTGTTTTGTTGTTTCATTTTTGAGAGCTCGTTATTTTGCTTGGGGAATGATGAAACACCATTTTCTCTGTAGTAGAGTTTATTAGTGAAAAGCAAAACTGCCTTCTAAAATAGCCCCTCTAATTCCATGTGTCCCGCTGCGCTACGCACGTTTTAGGTCATGTATTCCCGTGGTAACGGCTAAGCATAAGGCGTGTTTTCCTAGTGTACAGTAGCTTCTAGCTTTGTTTGCACTCAAAAAAATGGAGAAAACAAGAACGAAAAAAATAAGGAAGATGAAAAAGAATTGGTTTGTTCTTTAAAATGACCCAGTCCAGGATGTTGGGCTATCAGAAAGTTTTGATAACCATTTCAGCACTGTTTACATCCTGGGTTTATACAAGCCAGTGTCTAGACAAAAGAACATTTGTTTAAGCTAGAAAAGGCTTCAAAGGAAATGGTGGCAGAAACTAGCGTGTTTCCTGGGGCCATGTGCGGAATGAGTGCATTGTGGTTCATCGAAGGGTTCGCCTGGTATTTTGCCACCTACATTTCTTTCTCTCGCTTTCCCTGCTGTAGTTACTGAATGAACTGAGCGTGGTGGAAGCCGAGCTGCTCTTGAAGTCCTCTAGTCTGGCAGGAAGTTACACTACAGGACTGTGTGTCTGCATTGTGGCTGTGCTCCGGCGGTATCATAGTTGTCTGATCCTAAATCCTGATCAGACAGCCCAGGTGTTTGAAGGGTGCGTATATAAGTGGCATTGTTTTTTCCTTTCCTAACCTTAAAGGAAGAATTCATAGTAAAATGTGATGTTTTTAGAAAAAAAATTATACTGTGTTATGAGAAATATTTTGTTTTTAGACAGTTCAAGTAGATTTTTTAAATTTTCTTTTTCTTTATTCTTCTCTCATACAATGCATCCTGACTTCAGACTTCCCTCCCTTCTCTTAGTCGCCCCTACTTCTCCTCTCCCCCAGATTCATTGCTCCTCCATTTCCTTTCAGAACAGAGCAGGCTTCCCAATGATATCATGTGAACACGGCATAACAGGATGCATTTAGACCAGACACAAACCCTCATTTTAAGGCTGGATGAGGCATCCTAGAAGGAGGAAAGGGGGTCCCATGAGCAGGCGAAAGAGTCAGAGACATCCCCACTCCCATTGTGAGGAATCCCACAAAAAAAAAAAAGTTAAACAACTTGGGTACCATTTATTTTGACATTTTAAATGTCTTAGTAAATGTCCAATGAAAACATACCTAAAAATAATCGTGCCCAAACTATTTTCTAGAGAAGGAGCTACAAATACAGAAGGGTGTGTGGTTGCCTCTTTATGTGCTCACTACTCTCCTCTCCATCCTGGTCAGTCATAGCTCTTCTCTCCGCTGCCCACAGCGTGGCTTACTGAGAGCAGTGAGCACCGGAACTGGTCTCCTGTCTTCAGTTTACGTTTGAAGAAACAGACAGGAAGTAAGCTTTACAATACATTAGTACTGCAGAAACGTCTTCCTAATTAATCAAAGCTGGTTGCTTGTGTCTAATAGGGAAGGGTTCATTCTACTGTCCCTTGTGAGGCTGGGCTGAGGAATGGCCCAGTGTTTCCGCAGCAGACTGAGTTTAAAGGACCCAAGAAATGTGAGGAGCTCTTGATAACCTTCTTGTTGCCTACTCCCCCCCCTGCTTTTCTAGGCCCCCTTTTAAGGAAAGACAGCCTGTTCATTTCTTTTCTTCCATCTCTTCATTTGTCTTTTTGGTTTTTTTTCTCTGCAACCTAACTCATGCATTTAATTTATGAACAATATTTCTTGAGTGGCATCAGTTTTACAGAGGCTTTTCTTAGAAAACCAAAAAAAATGTTTGCATTATTAATCATATGTCTAGTTTAAGAAATGGAATAGTAAAAATCTACAGACTTTGAAGTGTGAGGACCTATGTGTGTATATAATACTTTGGGGTTTTTATATCATTTATCAGGTGCAGAGTTTGAAAGTGATGTGCCTAACATCACACAACTAATAAATCTTAAAATCTTTTACAAGTATTCTTAATTTTTTTTTCAAACAAGATTTCTGTATAAAATTTCTGGCTGTCCTGAAACTCGCTTTGTAGACCAGGCTGGTCTCAAACTCCCTGAGATCCGCCTGCCTCTGCCTCCCAAGTGCTGGGATTAAAGGCGTGCACCACCAGCACCACCTGACCCATTCATTCAATTTTAAAATAAAAATTTGCTCAATAACTCATTCGTTACTCATGGACTCATAGTGAGTTAGATTTTTATAGTCTTCTGAATGGTACAGAGCGGTCCACTCTGCACAGGGGAACCTCATCTCCCCTTTCCTTTTTCTGCTCAAGTCACTTCACCTGATCGCCTTCTCTGTACAGTGGGGGTGGTGAGTTGGGAGGTTATTAAGTCCATTTCAGGGTTTGAATCATCTGTGACACTATTGGTGATGTTATGCAGAGTCCTTTGTCAGATCCTTGGTGGTGGTGAAGTCAGACATGTGTATGGATGGATCATGGGTGTTCCCTTTTATGCCATACTGATGTTCACGTTATATGAACACAGGAGTCATGGTTTTGAATTAGAGGAAAATTACTGCAGTATTGATACTTTGGAAATAAAGGCATTATTTTAAAGGATGCCTCTAAAGAGAATGGACTTTCATTTTTTAGATAAGGTAAATCAAGAAAAATTTGCCTGTAGTTAGGATAAATAAGAGGAATGGGATTCCAAACTATGCATACATCCAGTTCAGCAGATTCCCTGCATTGAAGAATTGTTTCTTTCCAAACTAGTGTGCTTGGCAATCTTTGCCAACTGATTGAATTTGTGAAACTGTATGGCCTTAACCTGTCCTGTCTACCCTTTTCTTGTGTGTTCTAGTCACAGCAGCTACGTCCTCTGCATTCTAGTGCTGGAAAATCCCTTGCATTACTTTTGTTTTTTTTTTTAAACCTGTCTAGTATTCAGCATAACCAATATTGGTGTTTAATAACTTAATATTTTTATGAACAAAGAGGTTTCTTTTTCTGCTGTGTGATACCCGTTTCCAGGTCCTAGGTACATACCCTCTCACTTTAAAGACTTCCTCAGCTACTCACACACTGTCAAGACGTGCCGTTTTTATTCCCATGTCTCTGCCCTCAGGTTGTGTGGCGTGGTGAAGCATGTTGTCAACCCCTCAGAATGTTCTTCCCCTGAAAGATGTATCCTGGCCTACCTCTATGACCTCTATGTGTCATGCAGCCACCTCAGAAGTAAATTTGGAGACCTTTTCAGGTGAGCAGGAAAAAAATTAAAAAAATAAAAAATAAAAACACCACCACCACCAACAGCAACAACAAAAAACCACAAACATGACCATGCCTGAGTTGGTTAATAATCTCATTGCTGTTTGCATTTTATGTACTAGTGCAAGCTAATCTAAAGTATGTGGTCTTCTCGACTCAGTTAAACAGAATACTAAATAACTTGTGGTAATAATTATGGAAGTGGTTAAAGGATTTTTTTTTCAGTCCACAGGTAAAAGGGATTTTAGGGGACAAAGTCCACATCACCCATGAAAGGATCTCTTATTTAAGATTTCACATTCTTCTAGAAGTTTTAGATAAGCCAGTGTTGAAATCAGGGACACCAGCAGGGTAGGCATCACAGAGGATGCTTGCACTGTCCTCAAAACAAACAGGAAAAGAAGGCAGCTTTCTTGGCCTGTTGTGTGGTCAGAGTTCTGAGTGGGGGTTAGGAAAAGCATTTAAAAAGACGCCGAATATAAAGGGAGATTTATGTTGGCATAGTAGTAATCAAAGTTTTCATAATTGTGTCTGAAGCCCCATAAGGTTGTGTAGGGAGGAAATTTGGGGGAAACATAACGCTAACCATGTCTACCACTGCTTGAGCTCCTGCGTGCCGAGCGCTGTGCTGGTTTTTCCGTTAAGGTTTTCGAATTGTCAGAATCTCAGGAAGTGGAAGTGAGTTTCCTTACTCTCAAGCTTTGCTCCTGATCTTGATGTACAGTGAAGCTCGCATTTAAACAAGTTTTCTGACCTCCAGGCATTCATTGCTTTCATTACCCTGTCGGGTTTTTCTGAGACACGCAGTTACAGGAGGAACATGGCTGAGAGTTTGGCTTCCTTCCCTGTGTGTAGGCAGCAGAGAGTGGGAAGAATGAGAGAATAGTCTTAACGGAAGCCAGCATGCTCCTAACACCTAGAGGGGCCTCTTGGAAAGTGCGGTGAAGGAGATAAGAAGTCTAGATAGGAACGGTCCGGAGACTGGGTCAGAGTGTAGAGAAGTTCAGGTGTCCAGACACCCCAGAGAAGTCGGAATTTGGTGGCCAAGTGGAGTGGATCTCAAAAGGAAGGAAAAGCAGTGTTGTCTGGGCTTCTAGGATTTGGTAGATCTGTGTGTCACCTAATAACAAATATGTTCCTCGCCCCTCCCTCCCGCTGCTGCGCAAATCCCTGCTACATAGCAGAGCTCTCAAGTAGGAAAGGGATACTACCTATGGATTTATGGTTCATAGCAACAGGGTATGAATAGCTGAGCTCATGTGGGATTAAATCATTGCTTCTCCTGTCCATGAAGAAATGATGGGTAATACATTCTAATTCTCTTTTATTTCCAGTATTTCAAATCTTTTCAGATGTAGCCCACTGTAAATTCTCAGTTGGTAGGGTAGGCTCTTAAAGCATGCTTGTTTGTTTCACAAAAGACTAGAAATGGAGGATCCAGGCCCAGCTCGCTTGTAACACACGAGCGTCTTCTTTCTCAAGTGCTGGGGAGTTTAATGCTATGCCCAACTACATCGCCTGTTTTTCCTGTTGCTGCGAAACATGGTCTACCTCTTTTTGCTGTAACAGTATGCTTTTATCATACTATAACATATTTTATCTCTATGGAGACTGTGAGCTCCGAATGCAGGAGGTTCCGCTCTACCTGACACAGCTGTGGACCAGTGCCCACAGCAGCTTTGACACAGGAGCTACCGCTGGGCATGCTCTACATACCCAAAAGAATAGGGTCTGGGTTTGCAGTTAGTGTTAAAACACTACATTATTCCTAATGTGTAATTGATCCATTTTGATTCGTAGGTTATCATACTTCACAGCTGCTCTTAAGACAGTTAGATGGCTTAGTAAATGCATTGATGTTTTGAGTGCATATGCATGTAGAAAAGATTTAGAAAATAATTAAGTTTAGTAACTAAATATCTCATGTTGTTTCCACATATAAATTCAAAAGCTCTTCATTGAGCAATTACTGTACCCTAGAGTTTGTACCTACTGCTGGTTTACAAAGATATTAGAATGAGCAATACTAGGATGTGGTTTGCCTAGGAAGGTCTTCGAGTTGTTGCCACTCTGCATGTCCTTCACCGAAGTGATTTTCTTGGGTGTTTCGTTCTTTTCTTTTTTTTCCTTTTGTAACTATTTTTTCTAACCTTAGTAGTGCCTGTTCAAAAGTAAAGCAGACCATATATAATAACGTAATGCCTGCAAATTCCAACTTACGCTGGGATCCAGACTTCATGATGGACTTCATTGAGAATCCCTCAGCAAGAAGCATCAACTACTCAATGCTGGGCAAGATCCTCAGTGACAACGCTGCCAACCGGTACAGCTTTGTCTGCAACACACTGATGAACGTGTGCATGGGCCACCAGGATGCCGGCCGGTGAGCTTCTCTGCCCTGAACGCAGCAGTAGTCAAGGAGGAGTTAATTTGGTGCCTCCTTAGTTTCCTGAGCTCATATTTGCTTTTTTTTTTCATTTCTGATGCTACCCTGCTGTGTCTTAATTAATTTCCTCAATCCAAGCAACATTGATTTTTTGGACTCATGGCTTGGAAAGGGATATTTTTTAGTCATGCTCTATTTTGAAAACCATATACAATTTTGAAAATAATACTATATTTTGATATGAACTGTCCTTGGGCCTACTTACATTACTTAATGTCTTTATTTATCGTGGTGGGACTAGAGGCTGAACCGAGGATTTTACACACCTTAGGTCTGTGTCCTTAATGTTTGATTCCTATAAAATGCAAAATTATAGATCAAATTTATTCATAGAATCCAAAATATGTTAATTCATTTGTGCTAATTATATGTTACTTGGCAAGCGGTATGCATTATATCCTTAAATCTAAGTGATGCTTAATTGAACGTAGTCAATAAGGAAAAACATTATCATTCCTCATGTATACCAACACATTTGCTACTATCTTCTTTCTCTTTTCTAGGATAAATGACATAGCCAATTTCTCCTCTGAGTTAACTGCTTGCTGTACAGTTCTTAGTTCGGAGTGGCTGGGGGTTCTGAAGGCTCTTTGTTGCTCTTCCAATCATGTGTGGGGATTTAATGATGTGCTCTGCACTGTAGATGTAAGTTTCTCTTTCTCTTAAAACCAAAATCTACAATTGAGTTAATTGTTCTTCCTACTTAATTAATTAGGCTATAACAAAGCAAAATATTTTTCTGTCTCTAGAAGTGATAAACCATAGTGTAATAACCATGAATTAAATAAATTTGAAAAGATCAAAATAAGTAGACGGAACTCCAACGTGTTCTAGCGACTAAAGTTTTACGTGTGAATGGTCTCAGAACTGTTTCATTCTTCTCCGGCTTGGAGTCCTCAGATTAGGACATAAAGCGTTTCATCCATGAAGAGAACCAGTATATATTTGAAAATATAGATGTTGTTATTTTGGATAAGAAAAGTCATGTGTCGACTCGGGGTACTCAGTTTTTCTCAGAATATGCCTGTAAAATGATAGATTGTCCAAATCATGTGGATGACTTCCTGGTGTTCCATGTTGCACCAGGATGTATATGTCTTAACCATCTATCTGGACTCTTCATCCACTGATGCTTTGATCATTGGTGACCTTTGTTAGACCTGTGTATGTTACTAAGAAACCCTGACATTTGTAAAGCTGAGATTCACTTCCTGATGCTGCTGTCTCAGGATGGAATGGACAGTCCTGCCTCCTTATCTTCAGTCTGTGAAATCAGATATTATTTATACAAAATGCATTGTGATAGGCTGCTTTTCCATACAACAAAGACTTAGATTTTTTTTCTTAAATCTATTTTTGTGGCTTGTTGCACCAAGTACCAATCTCTTGGAAGCTTGCCAGTGGGGTAGTTGTGTTCCAATGCCTTGTGAGATCTGGAATGTAGAGATTTCACTGTGGCAGAATTAAGTTTTCTCTCCTTTCTCTCGTCGCTCTCTTGAAATTTAGCAGCCATTTGAAAACTTTCAGAGCTCTTTTAAAATGAATTCTCCTACATGAAAAAGAATATATTAGTGTAGCCAGAAAGAGTGTCCATATTTTAGTGGGTCATGTTTTCCCAATAGGGGAATCTTCTCCTGCTTTCTTCTTTGCCCATAAGTGACACAGTGCATTCCATTGACAACTACTGATAATGACACATCTTTTAGTACCTTCTTGCTTTTTGCTCTTGTGTTGGATTTTCTGAGTTGCTTGTAGATGAGTTATAGGTCAACATCTGCCTAGAACATTGGGATATGGGTAAACTTGCTTTGTCTTATTGTCATAGCCATGGGCCCAAGAAGACAATAATCGAAGCCATCTCCCTCTCTTGGTTCTTACTGAGTTCTCACTGAGATTTGAGATTGTGTTGCCGTTATTCTCTTAGATAGCGGTCTTTGATATGCCGTATTAAAGGGTATTGGGTATTAAAACCTGTCAATGTTTTTCTTAAAGGTGAGTGACCTTTCATTCCATGATTCATTAGCTACTTTCATTGCTATCCTGATAGCACGACAGTGTTTCTCCCTGGAGGACGTCGTGCAGCATGTGGCGCTTCCCTCTCTCCTAGCGGCAGGTAAGCTGGTCCGGAGCCTCTGCATTTGTGTGTGGTTGCTGCTTAGTGGCCACGTGTGACATTTTAACACAGGGAAAGGATTGTATTAGGAATTGGGGGGGGTATGGTACCTGGTGGAGATGGCATAACTGTAATAGATGTTCTATGCAGAGTAGCATTGAACTCTGGAGCAGGAACCTGCGATTGCTTTATTCTTTGTTCAAGGCAGCATGAAGGTTCCTTAGAAAGGTATCACTAATGACCTTACTAAAAGGAGAGTTCACTTAATGCAGTACTGAAATTTTAGCCATAAAAAAACCTGAAAAGCTTGTTGTGTAGTGTGTGAGGAGGCTTGCTTTTAATCTCCCCCCTTTCCAGCGTGCGGAGACGCGGATGCAGAGCCCGGGGCAAGAATGACATGCCGCCTCTTGCTTCACCTCTTCCGAGCTCCCCAGGCCTGCTTTTTCCCTCAAGCCACAGGTGAGCTGACCTCCAAGAAAGCTCTGCTTCTGTGGAACTTTTGGCTCTACTGTGACCATGGGAGCTGTCCAGTTTATAGCTTCCTCCCTGGTTTTCGTGGACTTGGTCTTCAGGTGATGGAGGACAGAGATAACGCCACTGAGAGGTCTGGCAGCACCTTCCGTTATGTAATAGGAGGATATATTGGGAAATAAAAAGGGGGAATTAATAAACAATAAAAATGCCTGAGCTCTGAGGAAATACCATGCTGGTGGGAAGTCTTATCCTCCTACATACCCTGTGTTGATTCTGGGGCATGCCATCTCCGCTTAGGAGGATGACAACTCATCTATTTACTTTGTCCTAAGGCGATTGGGGGTGTTAGTGAAGGCTTGTGCTAAATCATTTCCATATAGAGATGGATGCGTCTGTGTGGGAATCCGACTAATCTTTTCCTCCATCTCTCTGAGGAGCAGAAACATTGTTTTAATAATAATTAAAGAGAAAAGGTTAAGTAAGAATACTGGCAGTGTTTCTTGGTGATTCTCTGGAGCATCAATTAAAGCTAACTGATGTCAGTTAAGTGTCCACAAGCTAACAACGAAAGACCTTCCTGACTGTAGATGGTTTCAGAGGATGGTTAATGACGGAGGGGCCATTAAAGGTCTGTTGTTGTTTTCATAGGCAAACCTTTCCCTGGAATAAGATCATCTTGTGATAGACACCTCCTAGCCGCCGCTCACAACAGCATAGAAGTGGGAGCCGTTTTTGCTGTCTTAAAGGCAATTATGATGCTTGGTAAGACTCTCCTGGCCTTTAGCCTCTTGGTTCATCACCGGAAGTGGAGGCAAAATCATTTTATATTCATGGTGAAATTTACATAATGTCATGAAAACCTCGTTTTTTTTGTTTGTCTGTCTGTTTTGTTCTGGGGGAAGAGAAGAAAAAATTGGCTTTGCCTATGTCTAAGTAATGGGAGTTTCAAGGATTCTGTCCCTTGGCTAAGGTGCCCCTGAGAGAACTGAAATATAAGTACTTTGTATTTGGTTTTAATCAACATGATAATTCATTATGATGCAAATCAGGACCTCAGACCCACAGGATTGTTTTGCCTTCATTTCCTGACAGAACTCACTCTTCATAGAAGTGTGAGTGGCAGGAATAGCAATATTTTTAGTAAAACGTTTAAATTTCAGCTGGATTACATTCCAGGTGCAGAACATCAGAAAACCTGAGTTTTAATCTAGTGTTCCTGCTCCTTTTGCGACTACGAACAAGTTTGTATCATCCTGCTGCTCACTTTCCCTGAAAGAGGTGGACCCACAGTGATGCTTGTATTGCTAGTGATCAGTAGGAAGTGCACAGACTTGAGACCTAGTTAGCGATGCCCGAGATGCCCTTTACATTCTTAACTGTGCACATTTTGCTAGAGTAATAGCACCGCCTTCTATCCATGGGCAGTGAAACACCTCAGAATATTTTAAGTGTGTAAATCATAAAGGATTTGAATGATTATAGGATCTCAAATGCTTCCTGCTTTTAGCTTTGGGTATCTCATTTTGACCTCAACCAAACTATAGTTGCCACTTCTTGTCTGAAAGTGGTTCGAAGGAATAGACATATCAGTTTAAGTGAACCTTGCTAGACAGATTTTATTTGTGAATGACAAAGAATAACAGTCTTCCTAAAAACAATTAAACATTAAAACAAATTAAACAATAAAATATAAAAACAGTTAAAAACCAGTATATGTGTGTGTATGTATAAAAGAAAATGTATTTTTTTTTGTTTTCCCCAGTAGTGTGTTAACTAGATATATCAACCACACTCCAAGATAGGTATCATGTTCAAGAATGGTTGGTCAACATAATATGAACTCTGTTTTTTTATTGCGTACTTTTTGTTTTGTTTTGCTGTATTTATTTTATCTTATAGTTTTGTTTAGATTTTCATTATTAGAGAGAGAGAGAGAGAGAGAGAGAAAGAGAGAGAAAGAGAGAGAAAGAAAGGGCATGAAGTTGGATGGGTATGGGAATGGAGAGGCTCTGGGAGTTCTTGGAGGAGGAGAAAGAATATGATCAAAATATATTGTATGAAAAAATTTAAATTAGAAACAACCATACTTTTCTGAGATGCTCATGAATTTTGTAGCAAAACAAAAGGTAGCCCTTCCATGAAGGTTTCAGCCTATTTCCAGGCTTAGGATCATATAGGATTATGTAGTTCATGCTAACTACTGGTTTCAGTCAATATGATTTCTCTACTCTGCTAATGTTTGAAGGGAGGGAGAACTGGTCTACCTTACTGATTAATACTTGTCAGGGTCATAAAGGCAGGACCTGGATTTCCCCTGTGCTACTCTAAGTCCAGCAGAGAAAATAGAAAATGGATTTTCAATGAACTTCCATTGAAAGAATGAAGACTTAGTAACACGTTTCAGTGGTGTACACAGTGGTCAGTACACCAGTGTAGACAGTGGCCCCTTGTTTGTAGAGCTGGGATAATCCCAGTAAGGCTGCCAGGTTTTCTTTAGATATTCAAATAATGTGGGAGGTTCGTCGTCTGGGAAATTAGGATCACCACAGTTAAATGTCAGTGAAGACTTAGACAGATTCACTTAGGATATTTAGTTTGTTTTGTTTTCTATACTATTGTAGAAGGTAGTAGACTTCAGTCCTTCTAATATACAAAGGAAAAGGAGATGTACAACTGAGTCTATGAAATGTGCTTGTTTTTGCTTTTACAGAGAGGTTTTGTCTACTTTATTGGTCCTCACCAATCTTCTCCTAATTCTTATCCACCAAAATATATATTAAGGTAGAAAAATAGGACGGTTATAGTGAATGTTGTTCCTACTTTACATAGTAGTCTACCTTGAGATAGACATAGCTATTTATATCATCCAAGAGTAGAGAATACATACTTCTGCTCGCTTTGAAAAGCTTTGTTGAATTAAATTAACTCCCTTGGGTAAAGCCACCATTTCTTGCATTTTAAAATACATGATGAATATATATAATAATACATTGGCGAATTGAAATGTATTGTTTTTCCATCTATGGATTTTCTGCTTTGTCATTGTGTGGTGGCAGCAGTGCTGGGCATAGAGCCTAAAGTCTCATGCATGTGAAGCAGGTTCTCTGCCAGTGAATGACAGCCTCAGCCCTCCTCTGCTTCTGTGATTTTTGAAAGTAGATATTAATTAGGACATTATGATTATCCTTCCTCCCCAGAACAGAATTACAGTTTATGCTTGGTTTTTTTTTTTTCAGCAGAATCAAAACCTCATGAGGGTTGGCCTTGTGTTTAAAAGTGCTTGCTGTTGTTTGTTTTTTTGATTGATTTTTGCACTGATCTAGACTTGCTCCCATTCTGCATATAGTAAAGGCCTCCCTTAAACTCAGCTGCTGGTTTGACAACTGTCTCATCAGAGTTTTGAGCTCTGTAGGTAAGCAGGCAAAAGTCTGAAGGCCTTCTGCTGCTGTCTGGCAATCCCACCACCAAATTATCTCTTTCCTTATCTCACTTTAATTTTTTTCTTTCAGGGCTAAAAATTTCTTATTTTATCCAAGTACACCCTGAGTGTTGTGTTTTTTTATTTTTCTCCCAGAATTTTGTTAGTAGTCAAATACCTTCCTTAGCTTCATCTCACTCAGTGTGTCAGCGATTGATTAGCGGTAAGGTGTCTGAGCTGGATGCTATAGAGAGGAAGGTGAAGATGCAGGCTGTGTGCAGAGAGCTCTGTGTTCCAGGGCCTCAGTATGCATTGCCCTTTTCCATCCCCAGGGAAATAAATCTCTCTTGTCAAGAAGTTGATAGTAAGGTGGGCTAAGGCAAAAACTTTTCTCTTGACCTATGGATAGAAAATAAATCATTGTAAGAGAAGAAATGGAAAAGGGGCCCCTTGAAGGGTGAGTACCCCGTTTTCTTCCTTGTCTATAACCCAGGGAAACCTGAGTACATTCATGCCTGAAGCTTTGATAAAATCGATGTGTTTTGACTATAAAATGTCATTCATATTGGCCTTTCCAAGACTAGCAAAAAAATATTAAACCTATAAGCCAAAAGAAGGAATGAGTCTTGAGTCTGACTTTCCTCCATGCCCACTTGTTCTGTTTTCTCTCATCTATCTCTTTTTCCATTCTTTCTGTTGCTGGACAACTGGCTATGCAATGTGACACCACCCACATCTTTGAATCCCTGAAACCTAGCCTAACTTGCCTATTACATGTGTGAGGCAGTATTCTGAACTTCTGCGGTTTTGCCTTTGTGGTTCTGTCATTTAGGAGATGCCAAGATTGGCAGCAACAATGTCACCACTTTAAAGAATGAAGACTTCGGCATGAGGGGTTTACGACGTGATGGGAATGCTGAGGACGCCTGGGCCACCTCGCAGAATTCGAAATCCTATGGGAAGAGCATTTCCATAGAAACCGCCAATCTAAGAGAATATGCTAGATACGTACTGAGGACTATCTGCCAACAGGTATTCTTTTGGTTTCAAATGTCTTCTGCTTTGACTCTGTAACTGCTCTTTGAGAGGCAACTGTCTGCTATTTTTTAAAAAAATTCTATTTGGGTGTTTGCTATTTTTTTAAAAAATTCTGTTTGGGTGGCCTTTATTTGTCTTTATAAATTTATTTTGAAATAATTTCAAATTTGTTAAAGAGTTACAATAATGAATACTTTCAGTATGACCTCTGTACAGATTCACTAATTCTGAATGTTTTGTGCATTTTTCTTAACAGTTGAAAAGCAGATGATATAGTTTACTCTGCTTTACTTTTGGATACTCACATTTTTATTATTTGTCATAACCAAAGTAAAGTTACTAAAAAATCATACCTTTTAGCTTTGGTGCACTAATTTTTTCTCATCTGTAAGGAACTTTATGACCTATTTTAGTACTTTTAGATTTACATAGGGTTCTAAAGATTAGCTTCAGATTACTGGAGAGGAGAGTTCAGAGGTGATACTGTATTATTCCAGGTAAACACGTCTGATTACACACAATGTACATTTGGCCTGATGGGGGTGCTAGTTTCGATCACAGCATCTCTAGATTCAGAACTGCTCCACTACACTGCGAGTGTGTTTCCTTCTCCACCAGGTAGTAATCAGTGGGAAGACACTTTGAGATGACGTAAACGTTCTGGTCCTCATCACACACCCCATTCCTCATAGGCATCAATGACAATTCTTGTCTAAAGCAGTCTTTAATGTAATGACTCCAAAATGGTGTGTTTTCTCTCCCAGTTCCTCCTCTCCCTCCTCAGTATCAGTTTGTGTTGTACAAAGACCTTACCCTTATGTTAATGTTAGTTTGTATTTATTTAATTATCTGTGTGCATTATAATATATTGGCCAGAGTTTCTTTAATGTCCAACTTATTCTAGACTGATATATTGGGAATCTCTTCATCCTATATTTTGTGATATTTGGAGTATTTCTCTCCTTTTAAAGGACTGTTTCCTTATTGTATCCACTTCCTAGCTATAATCCGTCCCTCTTACAAGGAGTGCTGTTTCTGCCTGTTAGGAGACTGGTACTCAGAAGCAAGGCCTGAGGACTGAGCGATAGATCCATGGATAGAGTGATTGCCTTGCAAGCAGAGAGCCTAGAATTCAGATCCTTATAATTCCTATACATGGGTAGCCATGGCAGCCCACCTGTAATCCTTACACTCAGGAAGTGTAGATACAGGACCCTAGAGTGACCTGGCTAGGGAACATAGAGGAATAGGTGAGCTCTGGGTTCAGTTAACGGATGCTTCCTTCTTAGATAAGGTAGACAAGGTTATGGTCTATGAAGGTACCTGACAGCAACCTCTGGACTCTACATGCATGGACAGTGCACATCTCCCCACCGTGCATGTGTGTGTGCCCATACTTACAAACACACGCACACACACAAAGAAAGAAAGAAACTTAGAACTGGGTTGCATATATGTTCATTGCTGTAAGGTATCACTACTGTGTGTTGTGTAATTATGAATTACTGTTGATACTTCTAGCCTAATCTAATCCTTTAAATTTGTGTTTTACCTTCTCCCATTTCATATTAGTATTGCATAAAAAGTATCAGCATTACATATTTTGTAATTTGTATTAAATGCATGCTTGCTTAGTTTTTTTGTTTGTTGTTGGTCTATGGTAAATTTAAGCAGCTCCACAGATTTTTGAGGGCAGTCCTGTGCTAATCCCAACTGTGAGCACACAGTGGCATCACTGGATTGTTGATGGTTCTCTCGATGCCTGGACCTAGGCGCTGCTGGCCAGGTATAGGGTCCCAAGTGGGTCTGCTCCAAGTCCTATAAGAGGCTCTGGCCTACACTGCAATGCCAACATCACCTTCACCCCCCAATAATATATAAACTGGTGAGTCAGTAATAAATAATTTGATACCTAGGAAAGCAACACACCAATATCTGGTGTCTGAATGTTAGTTAATGCTGCTATAATGGAGCATGGGATTACAAAGCACCCAGATGGCCTGTGCCGAGCAGCTTATACATTAGTAAAGGAGACGTCATCTGAAACAGATTTGGGTTCAGATTGAACTCTGATGCTGATATTTTCTTATGCCATTTAATAAAAGAACAAAGTGGTAAAGAAAGGTTGCTAGTGTCAAGGAAAAGGTAACCTTCTAAATATTTATAAACTGTGTTCTGCCTGTTCAGCAGAATGTCTCCCATAAAATGATGGGAAGCATGTATAGCATAAAATCATTGTCCTTATATATCCAGTATAAAAAACAAACAACAGCAAAACAAACAAACAAACAAAAACCCTGACTACAAAATAGTACCTTAGAGTAAGTCCTCATTTTAAAACAACACACCATAACTTTACTCCTGCCCCATATGTTTAAATATTTTTGCCTTAATCAAAGCCCCTCCCACTTTGAACTTTGCTTTGAAACTTCCCCCATCAGCTGGTGATATAGCTTATTCAATAGTGTGCTTGGTGAACACGTAGGGAGCCCTGGTAGGCAAGAAGACGTGGCATTAAATGTAGGCCTGTCATCCCAGCACTAAGGACAGAAGCAGCAGGATCAATACTTCAGGATTGTTCTTGGCCACTTAGTGAATTGGAGGCCATCCTGGAATACCCGAGACCTTATCTAAAAACAAACAAACTCAAAGCAACAACAACAGAATCAAAGTTAATGCACACACAAACCTTTCTCCCATATTTCCATTAATTTGCTTTCACTGATGGTTCTCACTAGCCTTATATCATTTTGCTCTGAGAAATGAGAACGTACTACACACACAGGTAGAATTACTACCTACCCGTCTGACTGCCGGCTTCTTTTTAGGAGTGGGTAGGGGAACATTGCTTAAAGGAACCAGAACGACTCTGTACAGACAAAGAACTGATTTTGGACCCTGTGCTGTCAAACATGCAAGCCCAGAAATTGCTGCAGCTCATCTGTTACCCTCATGGCATTAAAGAGTGTACAGAGGGGGACAACCTGCAAAGACAGCACATTAAGCGCATCCTTCAGGTGAGTGGCACACTCTGAAGATCCTGTTTAGGTCATTCATCATAATATGGTTGTAGAAAGGATGACCTTGCTGCTGTTTTTCTTTCTTATTCTTGAGTTTAATTCTGACTTCTGCAGTTTTCTTTAGGGCGGCATGGTCGCCGTCGTCTGGCCAGTAGGTATAGCCAGCAAGAGACAGCATATAATCAAAAGCAAATGTTGGTATTTCAAGTCAGTGCTGTATTTACTTGAGAAATAATCTTTGTGATAGATCGTTCCTGAATATGTTATTGAAGAAACGCATCGTTTTGGAAGGAGGTTGGCTAATTGGTAAATGGATTCTGAGAGATGCCATGTCTACATGACTTCGGCTCCTGGCTGGATGAGGGACATAGTCTGAAGCTTGAGTCAATTTCGTTGTGAATGTCTATTCTATCAGGCATGAGATTGGAAGCCCTTAATCCTTGTGAATTCTCTTGCTAGGCATGGGTGTTACTGCAAGGCTATGGTAGCCTATGCTCAGTATTCGTAATGCTGTAATTCTCTGCCTTTCCTCCAGAACCTTGAGCAGTGGACACTGAGACAGTCCTGGTTAGAACTTCAGTTAATGATCAAGCAGTGCTTGAAGGACCCTGTGAGTATATGCTGAAAGCACACATGTCAATTAAATAAAAAAAGGCAGACGTCGTTGATGCTTGAGAGGCAAGGAATGCATGGATGGGCTAGCTTTCTTTCCTTTCCCCGACTCTAGAGCTCTGGTTCTGTGGCTGAAATGAACAACTTACTGGACAATATTGCCAAGGCAACCATAGAGGTGTTCCAGCAGTCTGCAGACCTGAATAATAACGCCCCCAGTTCTGGCATAAGCCTCTTCAACCCCAACGGTATTGGAAGTGCTGATGCAAGCAGCACGAGGCAGAATGGAATAAAGACATTTTTAAGGTATTGCTTTATAGTTTGGCTGGACTACCGTCAGCACTCCGTCTGTCACAGCAGACTCGGTTAGCCGAACGCATGTTTCGTTAAGCGTCTGGAAACGTGAAGAAAACGATTCTTTAGAGTTAACAATTCTGTTTGTTCACCCAAGTTATAGGGCAAAAGTGGGTGAGTGATGTCTTGGCCCTTTAGGTGTTTTGTTGTGGGTCCAGGTATTTGGAGCCACAGATGACCTTTGGGTCAGTCATTAGACACGAAACATTCTGTATGTGTCTTTATTAATTGACAGCTGTGTATAAATCTGGTAATTTGTATTCATAATAGAACTTAGTAGGGTTGTGAAACCATAAAGCAATCCTTTTCATCACAAAAGACAGATTGTTTTGTACATCACCATTTTGGTAAAAGCATATAGATAGTGAGTTTTAGAAAGATTGGTTTTTCCTTGGCTTGAACACAGTGCCACTGTATATTGGGACCATGACTGAAAAGTGTCGTGTTCGTAGAAAGAAGGGTGGTGAGTGATCAGAAAGGCAGTATCCAAGAGTCACTGAGCAGAGTTGAGTCTGCAGAATACCTTCCCAGAAGAGCACATTTAATTCCTCGGTGAATGTGGTAGAATGCATAAACAGTAAACAGATGTCTGGTCCTTGGCAAGCGGAGAAAGTAGAGACACAATAGGACAATTTTAGAAGTCTGTGTCTTACCCACCAGTGGCTTACTGTAGGGTTTCTGTATTGGCTGTGAGAGTAGAGGCCAGCTGCTTTGTTAGGTGTAACGCCTGTTTCTGATTTTAGTTCCTCTGAACGCAGGGGTGTATGGCTGGTGGCCCCCCTCATCGCCAGGCTACCAACCTCCGTGCAGGGAAGAGTGCTGAAGGCTGCTGGGGAGGAGCTGGAGAAGGGACAGCACCTGGGCTCTTCTTCCAAGAAGGAAAGAGACAGGCAGAAGCAGAAAAGGTATGCTGGTAGACACCCTACATCAGGCTAGCCCTGAGGGAAGCATCCTGCACCACCATCACACCATATCCAGTGTCCACAGGACCCACAGTCACACCATATCCAGTGTCCACAGGGTTTGGACTTTCAGTGGATTAGAAGATTATCTGTTAAGCAAGACTCTGGCCTTGCACTAATGTTCATTGCACCAGGTCCCCTCCCTGCCTGTGTGTCCGTATCCCTGCACAGCTGTCGAGACACATGGGCCTGCTGCTACTTGTGCCCTGCCTACTGGACCTTGACACAGCTACTGATTTTCTAAACTTTAGCACTCTTGATCTGGACTCTTGATGAAAAGTGGTCATACCAACTGCCAGAACTAATGTCTACTTCATTTATTTTATGACGAAGAAAAGTTTTCGAGTAATTACTTCTGAAAATAGAACGTATTATCGAGGATGAATATTCACACTATAAATTTAGCATCCAAGGTTTTTTCTTTAAAAGTCATAACTTCTTCATTTTATAAAAATTTAAAAATGGAGATTCTTTTGTCTGTTAATAATAGTGCCATAACTAACTGTTATTTATTGGCCACCTATGAAATACAACTCCTGAGCCAAATGTTTTGGTTTGAACTTAGGCTTTTGGAAAATTTTCTTTTCCCTCTATCAATCAGTATTCCATTGTTCTCTCATTGAAGATACTTTATGAACATGAAAATTATAAATAGAATTTTTGCCCCTTTTCCAGTGGAGACATGGCTATATCAGAGCTCTAGATGTTTCCAGCAAGAACCTTGCTTTTGGAGGCCTCAGACCTGGTGTCCACCCCTGATTTGACCAAGACTATGCTGTTGACCTTTGAAAAATATACAGCAAAAATCTCACAGGTATCCAGAATAGTCAAGACTCACAGAGACATGAACTTCCTAAAGGAGAGTTTTGTCTGAAGAGGAACTTCTCGATGTGTCTCATTAATCTGTGTGCACATTTATAGTCTTCGTCATATATATTTAAAAATTTCCCTGGGAGCGTAAAGCAAGGTCATCACATCCAGTGTAGGTTTCTGTTGCTTTGGGAACACCTTCCAGGGCAATAGAGCATGGCCATTCACGAACTCTGCCAGTGATTTTTAACAAGTACTGGAATGTGTCCCCTTCCCTAGTGTTCTGGGTGGCTTGCAACAAAACTAACTGTTGGCCCCGAAGGCCAGCTATTCTTTCTAACTGTCACTACTTCCTTTGTAGTATGTCTCTTTTGAGTCAGCAACCTTTCCTCTCCTTGGTCCTTACCTGCCTTAAGGGGCAAGATGAGCAACGGGAGGGCCTCCTAACATCTCTGCAGAATCAAGTCAATCAGGTAAAACGCAGTGTGTTATTAAGCCAGGCCAGAATCGTTCCGATGGTGTTCACTATTTTCCTTTCAAATACAAGATTAGACCACCATGTCTATCCGTGAGGTGCTAGAACTAGACAGCCTGTGTCCAGTACTGCCTAGCATCATGGTCACCATAAGGCTAGCATCTTTATATTAATTATGCATGGATGGGTTATAAAGACTCCAAAAGTAAGTTGTCTCATACTGCTTATCAGCTAGCTTGCTGATCTCTGTCACTCCTGCCTGGCATCCTAGGGAGCAGAAACAGATTAGTAAGCGTGGAACCAAGGAGAGGCGAAGTTGGTGGTGTGAGATGAGTTATCCTGACACGTTCCAGGTGGATCCCCCCCCCCCGCCCGTGACGTTAAGTGGGATTTGATGACATGACCAAGGCCACTTGGCTTACTTGGCCTTGTCATCACAGGCACTACTTCTGAGAAGTCTTTTCTCTGGCTAGCTTCCAGAGTCAGCCATTTAAATAGAAAGCATGCGTGTTTCTCATTATACCTCCACTAGATTCCAGGGCTGACCTCGTAGAACCCTTCCTGGCTGGGCCTTCGCTGTTTCTCCCACCTGGTTTCCTTTTTACTGAAACCTCTCTGGACTAGGGCTGCCTTCAGGTTTAGGTGTTTGTGCTACAAGGATGCCTCTCAGGCCTGCTCCCTACCGTCCTGCTGGTCTCTGTTCACCTTGCCTCCTTAGTAAGGCTGTGGCCGCCCTCTAAGTACCTCTGCTCCCATTCTTTGTCCCTTTGTTCTCTCTGGAGTCATATCCTTTTCACTTTTACCCCCTTTCCTCTGTGCTGGGGTTGGGCCTAGGACCGACCGCATGCATGCGAGATAATCTTTCTGCCGCTGAGTCCATTTTTAGCACATTATTTTGAGATGAAATCTTGCCCATCTGTCTCTCTTAGTAGCCCAAGTGAGCCTTGAACTTCCAGCCTTTTAGTTTCAGCTTCTCAGTTAGGAGGAGTGATAGGGGAATCTCAGCAAGCTGAGCTCTCGGTGCTTTTGTGTCAGCTCTGTGATTGTGTGTGTGTGTGTGTGTGTGTGTGTGTTTGTCTGCCTTGTTAACCTCAATTGACAGAAGCTGCTGTTGTCCCTGTATACAATTTGGGACATATTCTCTTTACTCAGCTTACTTACAGCTCTGTGGTTGATACCTGTTACCTGTAAAGTGGTCCATTTTTACACACTGCGTGGGGTGGCAAAGGGGAAGAGAAAGTATGTAGGGGTGAGAGAATGCAGGGATACGGGTGCCAGGACATACAAGTAGAAGGCAGAGGAAAACCCTCGGTCTTGGTCCTGTCCTTGCACATCCCCTGAGACAGCGTCTCTGCTGTTTGCTGTTGCTCCATGCTCCGGGGCCTGTGGATGGCTGGGAGGTCTCTTGCTTTAGGGATATTGGGATTATAGGAGCCACTTCCTCCTGCACCATTGAATGGAATTCCATCTCAGGTCCTCACACTGCATATGAGCTTTTTACCTGTGGAGTCATCTCCTCAGACCCTTTTAGCAGATTATTTACTGTTAGTTTAGAGCATGCCAGAGTTTTGGTGGTTGACTTTAGTGTATTGGCTCTTGTCTTCTGGCTCTGGGATGTGCCACCTCGCTTGCCTTTCTTTAGTAAATCCTACCCAGAGCTAGCCTTGAGGAAATGAAGAAGCAGTCCAATTTATAAATTTGAATGGTCTTGGTCTAAGGGGCTATATTTTTTTGAAAATAGTATATGTATTCTCTTTATCAGGAAAGATTATTTATTAGATATCAAGTAACAATTCCAGTAAGATGTCAAAAATAAAACATCTACTAGGATTTATAGCATGTCTCTAGAAGTATAACATGAGACCAATGAAAAACAGAATTTTGTCTTTTCAATATTTATCTTTAGATTACTAAATTAATAGTGTTTTATTTGATGGCCCTTTAAAGGATTTTCCCCAAAATATACATGTACACATGTGTATATATATATATACACATATATATATGTATATATATATATATGTAATTTATATATACATATATATATATATATGTATATATATATATATGTAATTAGGTAATATTCTCTTCCCTCAGCTACCCAGGTAAATAAATCATAGAGTAGCTAGGATTTTGTCTGTGTGAAAGAAGAGAAAGATAAAAAAATATAAAATTTTAACTTTAATTTGTTAAAGCTAAAAGATTAATTGTGACTATTAAGCTTAACTTTAAACACGTAAAAATTGTCATAACAAAGAACCAAGGAATTTTTGTTGTTGTTTTTCTTCTTTTGCTCCTGATCTTAGATTTTAAGTAACTGGAGGGAAGAAAGATACCAAGATGATACGAAAGCCCGCCAGATGATGCACGAGGCTTTGCAGCTCCGGCTAAATCTGGTAAGGACCATGGCAAATGGCTCCATCACACCTCTCTGTGTAAGAAAACAACACCGGCTTTCAACCTCTTTTGCGGGCAAAATCTGCATGGCAAAGTGAAGCCTTCCTCTTTCTGTCTCTGTACCCACTTCCTTTTCTCTTAAACCTTCTGTTTCCCTTGCCACTTTTCTTCCTGTCTGGATTGAGTTCTAGACAGGCGTGGTGTGAGCACCAATTCTCTTTTCTACCCTTGGCTCCTTCCATCTGATCTCTCCTCCGCTTCAGTCCATGCTAACGGAAGGTCTAAAAAGCCTTTATTGGGATAGGAGGGTTGGCTCTACTGTATTTTATCTTAAAACTATGAAATCCATCAACTCAAAACTGTTGATCAGAATTGATTAAATCTGTCGAATTGGTTAGAAAAAGACAAATCTCACAGGATTTTTTTTAAAAAAAAAAATCTAAAAGATCTCAAAACATTTTTATTCCTTTGAGTGTTTTTTTTTTCTCTTCTTGTTGGACAAACCTCAAATGAAATCTACCCTGGGTATAGATAGCATGCCTAGGTTTTGGCAGCTTAACCTCCACACAGGAGCTGGCAGACCTAACAAACATTTCTGGTGGCATTGTAATGACAGACGTGGCAACAATAATAAACAAATATGACAGAATTGTAGGTAACCAGTTCATTCCTGTTCAGATTTATCTGCAATTACGTTTAAAGCTGAATACTATGCGGTGTTGATGAGAGAGCCAGTAATGCTCAGGTATTGCTCTTTTTGTTAAGTTTTGAATGGCTCTACTGTGTTGAAAGAACCGAAAAGAGTGATGAACACATACACTGTTGAATGGGACAGACTGTAGGGTAATCCAGAGCATGAGCAAGAACTAGTTCTTAGCATCTCTTCCATTTTAACAAATCAACGTTTAGGCACATGTTGTAATAGAGGTGATGCTTTATCCTAGAGATGTAAATCCTTTGTTGTGTTTTGTATGCTAGGTGGGAGGAATGTTTGACACAGTCCAGCGGAGCACCCAGGGGACCACTGACTGGGCTCTCCTCCTCCTCCAGATAATTACTTCGGGAACTGTTGACATGCACACGAACAAGTATGGTTTTATTTAAATCCGTTTATACGTTTCTGCTGCATGCGTGCATGATACAAGCTTGGATAGACTGACCAGAAATTCTGCCACTCACTGACTTAGATGCCATCAAAAACTAAGCACTTTCAGTAGAAATGGTTAGATAATTATGTATGTCTTGTTTTGTTTATAAGAGTAAAATGGTTTTCCTTTCCTCTCAGTGAGTTATTCACCACAGTTCTTGACATGCTGGGTGTTTTAATCAACGGGACATTGGCTTCTGACCTATCAAATGCTTCCCCCGGGGGATCTGAAGAGAACAAACGTGCATACATGAATTTAGTAAAGAAACTGAAAGTAAGTTTGTGATGGGCCCCTGTTCTGAAGTTGTCGATGGGCTGGTCTGATTTGATTCCACATAATGTGATGATTGTCTTGCCTAGGCTTGCCAGTCCTTCAAAATTACAAGTATGTTATCTGAAAGAATTTTCTCTAAAAACTTATATTCATAAAATGTGTTTAAGTTGTAAGAGATTTAGAAGTGCATTATCAAATATCTAACCAAAACTCCAGTGCCAGATTTCAGTTAAACCCATGCTTGGATTTGTACAAGCAAGTGAAAAAGAATGGGCACTTGCATTAGTAATTTGTAACTCTGGCTCCTTTAATAACCCACTAATAGTCCTTGAAATACACAGTAAATGAACAGTGCAAATACACAAATCTGAAGACTGTACAATAAAATAGCTGATGGTTACCTTGCGGTCTGAATCTGGGTGCGAGGAAGTTTCCTTGCTGCGGCTCCCGCTGTGTGACTGCAACAACAGCGGCTTTCTGTCATTTCAGCGTTCTGATAGTCCTCGTAACAAGGCTGCCTTTGTGTGTGCTCTGTTTTCTACTTGAATAGAAGAAATGAAACATTTCACCAGTCTGATTTGCCGCTGTTCCATAGACTGCATTGAGGGTTAAAAAACTACTATTAAAAAAAAAAAGGAAATGTGTCATTGGAGAACTTCCTTCTTATGAACTTTTGCATTCTTTGTAAAGTCAGAATTTTTATCTCACTTCTCTCTTGCTTTTACATTTTTTTTTCTTTTTCTTTTAGAAAGAACTAGGAGACAAGCGATCAGAAAGCATTGACAAGGTTCGACAGCTGCTGCCTTTGCCAAAGCAGACGTGTGATGTCATCACTTGTGAACCCATGGGTTCTTTGATCGATACAAAGGGAAACAAAATTGCTGGATTTGACTCCATTGACAAAAAACAGGCAAGAGTAAATGATTTTCCCCTCATATATCTAGTTATAGAAGCCAAGTGGCCTTTCTTACATTCTTTGAGGATATACAAAACATCTTGATTTCATTTCTTAATTTTCAAGGTGTTATTTTTGTCATTTAAGCACAATAGCTATTGACGTTATAAGAAGCCATACCTTGAAGGTCTCCATTTAAAATGCTTTTCTGGATAAGTAAATTTATGGAATCTACCGACGAGGTTTTAAGTAGAAGCCTAGTGTAAAGAAGTAAAAGTAAACACCAATTCTGATTTTATTTTAGTATACGAATCAGAGTATGTCTATGTAAGAAAATCGGCGTTGATAAGTATTTTAAGTTACTGAGCAATTTTACTTTAATTATTCATTAAGTAAAACTCCTAAGTGTTACAGCACTGTGTGTTATCAGTGAAGCAGTGTCCGACGGACACCTGCTTTATACAAGAAACTTTAGGAAGTTCTTCAACATAGCAGAAGAATGATCGGCTCTTCTCTCAAAGAACACAGAGTGACCATTGCCACTCTGCAGCCGAGCTAGACGGTTGAAGGGAATTCCCTGCTCTTAATGGGAAGTAGGTGCACGGTCAGCCGCAATGGGATTGGTGGGCCATGGTCTAGAAAGGACTAGGAGGCTCTGAGGGGACAGTTTAAGCCCGGCAAGGGAGCAGTAGGTCTGAGCAGGGTTCCTACCGTAGTGGACACGCAGACCATTCTGGAGGATTGAGGAGTTACACAGAAAAGAATGAAACAGGCAGGGAAAGTTTAAATCAAGGCGAGGAAGAGGTGACTCATAGAGGAAAAGTGATGTCATCAGAATTCAGAGGCAGCCTACATCCCATAGCAGTGTGGTCAAGGGAAGGGAAAAGGCCCCTTAGTCACAGTCAGGATGACTTGGGCTTTCTAGATGTAGGCAGCCAGGACCCATTCAGATGGGAGCTCTGCTCAGGAGAATGCATTCACCACATGAGGCAGCAGCCGGGAGTGTGACCTTACTAGTGGTGATAGAGGAAGCCACTCTTCCAGATGCAGCAGAGGCAAGAACAGGCATGCTCACATCCTGGGACATGTTTTTAGAAGTGTCTTTGAATCGGTGTACTGGAGATGTTACCCAGAAATGTCACCAGTGATGGTTACAAATAAAAGTATTCTGTTTTGTTTTCAGTACAATTACATTGGCGTTAAGAGACTTGATTTGGTGATATACACAAAGAATAAATTTAAAAAGTTTTTAAAAAGCAAAAAAAAAAAAAAGACTTGATTCGTGGTGGACCTGGTTCTGTAATTAAGTTTTCTCACACCATTTTGTTCAAAGAACACGATGTTAGGTGCATGAGAAGTCCACATACTAAATCAAGTCCATATAGATTGAACTGAAGTGAATATAAGCCCAAACAGAGGCAGACTATATATTGATTTTTAAGATTTTACACCATCTTAAAAATAATGAAGAGGTTTCTGAGATGAGTAAATAATTTTGTATTATGAGGCCACCTTTTTTTTTCCCAAGTAGTGGTTAATTTTTATTTTTTAAAAGTATTAACAAACCATAAATCATCTTAACATAAATATTTTTAGGGGATTGTTGAGACCAACTTCTTTACAGGATACTTGAGAACTTACATTTTCTAGAAAAGCTAAAAGTGAAAGAAAGTGTTGTTTTGTAGTAAAATAGTCTAGGTTACCTTGAGATGCCTTGAGGCAGTTTCAGATGGTAGAGAGAACTAGAGAGCTGAACTCCCAAAGTTCGGAACTCCAGGTCTCCTGACTTAGCTGAGCATTACCGTCTGCTGAGTCCCCTATCCCATGGCAACCACATGTTTACATGCCTGTCCTGTGAGCTGGGAAAAGGCCTGAGTGTACTGTCACAGAACGCTGTTTTCCTGTAGGGTCTCCAGGTCTCTACGAAGCAGAAGGTGTCCCCATGGGACCTGTTTGAGGGTCAGAAGAACCCAGCTCCTCTGTCCTGGGCCTGGTTCGGCACTGTCCGTGTGGACCGGAAGGTGCTAAAATACGAGGAGCAGCACCACTTCCTTCTGTACCACACACACACCATGCCTAAGCCCCGAAGCTACTACCTTGAACCACTGCCCCTTCCTCCTGAGGAAGAAGAGGAAGAGCCCACGTCTCCAGTGTCTCAGGAACCAGAAAGGAAATCAGCCGAACTGTCAGATCAAGGAAAAACTGCAGCTGACGAAGAGAAGAAGACAAAGGGAAGGAAGCGTAAGACAAAATCAAGCTCACGCATTGATGTGAGTGGGGGATGGAGGAGGAGTTTGGCTCCTTGGCATCTAGGTTTACCCATGGCCAAACTGTACTCCTAGACACCTTACTAAGCGTGGCATCAGCCTTCTCATACAGAGTTCCCTAACACGTGTCTCTGCTAATAAATGAAATGATGCTCTGTGATTTCTCGTGGATGGCAGACTTAAAGCTTTTGATTTTCTATTCTCAACTCTTCATAACTATTTAACCTTAAAGACTTCAGTAGTGGATAATATTGAGGAACTAACCCTCATAATTCTCCAGGTTTAAAACTTTAATTTTTCAGGGATATATGATTCTACCCACTTAAACACTTTTATTAATATAATAGGTATATTTAAGTATCTTATTTTGAATGATTGACATTTGTAGTGAAGTAACATTAAAAAGTTCCTTTCATTTTTCTCTGAATGAATTTGCATCTGATTTGCCCAACAGAGTGGTCCTGAGACTTCTTTCTTTGTCCTTGTATCTTCTATCCCAAGTAGGCTTTAACATATTTTCAGATCTTATAACAGGTAGTTTAGAATTTAAATTTAAGTCAATTTAAAATCGTCTCATATCCTTTCTCTTTTCCTTCCCTGTACCAGAGGCTTCTTAGATGATAATTCAGAAATTATTTTATAGCATATGAGACGCAATATTTAAAAAAGCTTTCTCCTTGAAATTACCTGGCTTCGCTTGAGAGAGAAATTTTAGGTCACTTTCTGTAGAATAAAAGAATGTTCGTATTTGATGGGGACTCAGCTGTCCGTGAGCAATAGTCCTTACATTCGCCTGTGCCCACATCGAATCATTCTAGCGGATAGCTTGGTAACAAAGATGCTTTTAGAGATGGCTGCTGTTGCTTTCTGATGCCACTTGACCACCAGTGCCCACGCTCAAACCTGGGACACTCGGTCCCACCACACCACACGGATGAAGGCTTCTCTTCTCTTCCCATACAAAAGCCTTACCTAAGTCCCCTCAGATCCCCCTCCTGCAGCTGCCTCGTCCCAGAGGGATTACATCCTTTTGTCCAATTGAAGGGTTCTGAGGTTGTCCTTATCCCTCATCCTCCAGGGCCACGCTAGATAGAAAGAAGGATGGTGAAGTTGAGACTTCCTGGTGTGACCCTTAGAGTCTGTACCTGCTAGAAGGAGGAGAAGGCATGGGGACTTGGGGAATGGCTGCCCTGAAAGCTGTGGGCACGCTGCTGTCTAGGCCTGGAGTAATTCTGACGCACTATGGTCCTTTCTGACCCAGTTCTTATCCAGATATATGCTTTTAGCTTTTTAAATGTCTCCTGTGAGGAGCTTCTTGTTTTTTGTGGTGATGGTAGGGAGATGGTGGAGACTGAACATAGGGCCTTACATGTGCTAGGTAAATAGTATTGCTTTTTAAATCAAAGAAAAATTTTAATTTGCATGAGTACTTTCTAGGAAATGAGTTACCATTTATGTTCTCTCCCTTCCTTTTCGTGAACTATAGCCTTGGGTTCTGGGATGGAACAGTCTCACATAACTGAATGGGACGAACTTATATTGATTAACTGTGCGTGGTGTATTCAGTTAAATTTTTTAAAAATGATATTTCTGTTGAAGGAGTATCAGCAGAGCAACATGTACCGAGTGCCTCCTAACTACTCGCCCATGTCCTCCCAAATGATGCATCACCCGCAGCCTGCACTGTGGGGGTACAACCTGGTGAGCCAGCCCCAGCAGCCCGGCTTCTTCCTTCAGAATCAGTCCCTGAACCCAGGTGGGTATGAGACACACATCGCTGGCAGAACACGCTGGGCAGCAATTTAGGGACAAAAACTTTTCGCTCCTAACTTTTATCCACCACAAAATGAGAATTCGGGTAATCCAGTACTCAGTCGCAATTCATTTTTCTGTTTTCTGAAGTAAGATAAAGCTTTGGATCAGTAGCTTTAGACTTAGTAGCTTACGTCTGTTGTCCTAGCTATTAGTGTAGAGGCTAAGACAGGAAAATCACAGAGCCTTGCCAACATAGTAAGAGCCTGTCTCCTAAATTAATAGGCAGGGAAATTATATGCACAGATTGTATAAAATGCCTGTTTTGTGAAAGAGAATGAAAACACCTTAAGAACTTAAAATGCTTGAAGACTTCAGTTTCTACAAACATCTCTCCGATCACTGTTGCTCAGAAGACAAAGAAAATCCAATACATATTTGCTTTCGCAGTTTGTCAGTATCCTTAAGGATTAGAAAAACTTACTTCTCCAGTTGGTGACTTTATAGGAAATGTCACTCCTTCCCTCCAAAGATTCTCTATTCCTTGATACACGCAAACAAACAGAGCTCTAACACACACCTTACAAAAGAGACTTCTTTCTTCCCCACTTAGAGTCCCCTCCCCGTGTTCCCCATATCTAAAATAGGCCTTTTAATGTTGCCAAGATAAAGGTTAAATAATACAGCCTTCAGATCTGATAGGCTACAGAGAGCTTCTATGCCTGGCTTAGGAAACTTTGCAAAATACTGCACAAGGCACACTTTTATTCAAGTAATAGGCACAGCCCGAGGGCTGTCCAACCCACATGACCAAGGTTTTCTGCAGACTCGCCTTTGTTTCAAGCACTGCATTTTATCCCCGAAGTGCAGCCTTCACGTAGCAATTTTAAACTATTGTTATTCATGTGCACCGGTGCTCTTCCTCTTTTGGAAATCAGGCGGCTCTTAACCGAAGGTTAATACTTGGAGCTGGTGGGCAGTCTGTTACTCTCTGTCTTGCTCATAAAGTAAGGAAAGTGAAGTTTCTTGTCGTGATCAAGGAACACCTGCTGCCTTAGAAAGCCCCTTCCTTTTGGTGGTTTTTCTAGGTGGCTCCAGATTGGATCCTGCAGGCTCCTATGTCCCAACCAACACGAAGCAAGCCTTGTCCAACATGCTGCAGAGGCGCTCGGGTGCCATGCTGCAGCCACCTTCCCTTCACGCGATCACATCTCAGCAGCAGTTGCTACAGATGAAGCTTCTGCAGCAGCAGCAGCAGCAACAGCAACAGCAGCAGCAGCAGCAGCGGCTCCTCCGGCAGGCCCAGACTCGGCCTTTCCAGCAGGTTTGTCCAGAGCCAGCCTTGGAGTCCTCCTGCTGTGGTCCCCTCCTCTAGCTAGGAATGAGTTTGGGGTGTGGTGCATAATCTTGCTGCATGCCCATCTCTGTACACGTGTGGTTAGAGGGGTCTTTTCTTTATACAAGTTCAGAAATGTTCTTCCACTTCTTTATTTCCTCATTGACTTTGTGAGGAAGCTGGAAGTACTAAGGACGTTGTACCTTTTACCTCTGAGGTCAACTTCCCTGCTCTGTTCTATATTATAATTACTACAAGGGTTTATGTTCATCTTAGCATTACTTTTATGCATTATCCTCAGATCTGTTACTTAATTTTGTGCCTCTAAAGTCTGGGTGTTTTTCTCTTTCGTTGTTTTAAGTGTTAATTCAGTAAGATCTGTATCAAACAATAAATAAATTAGAAACAGTGGTCTGAATATGGAGATTGTGTATGTGTGGGAAGTGCTTTAGATTATACCCAGAGCCTGACACATGCTGGGTAACACTTTACCCCCACAGTATATGCCCAGTGCAGAAATACTAAGTTAGTTTTTGTTTGTTTGATTAATTTTTATTGTTTTGTTCTGCTGTGTCTTCTTTTTCCTCCTCCTATTCTTCTGGTGTTTTGTGACAGGGTCTCACTACATTAAGACCGTGTCTCACCAAGTCGCACTGGCTGACCTAGTACTCTCTGTATAGATGAGGCTGGCCTCAGATTCAGAGATGCACCTGCCGCTGCCTCCAGAGTGCTGGGATTAAAGAGAACCTCACTATGCTAAGCCTTTGAGTGTAACTTTTGGTTGATGTTTCTTCTTTTATGCCATGAAAATCACTGTTCCTTCCAGGCAGTGATTGTACTGAATAAGCAGTGATGGAAATGACATAGACCTACCTTGATAGAGACAAGTGAAACCCGTACATCTATGCAAATGAAATTTGTGAGCGAAAAGAGTGACGTAGGATTGCTTCTGCTTTTTATGGTTTGTGTATTTGTGTGTGTATGTGTTTTCCAGTTGCAGTGTTCGGGTAATAATAACTAATAGAGCACTTACTATGCCCAAATAATCACGAACATTTTCAATGTGGTCGTTCTTGAGATCCCACGGCCACCCTGTGATGAGTGAGCACCTTTGTGTGACCCAGTCTACATGTGTGTCCTGCTCTAGAGAAATAAGAAAACTTGACAGTAGCCAGGATTCTGGTACTTTTCAATTGCCCTGGTCTTGGCTTTGCACACCTGGCTGCTGTGTATCAAAGCCCATCCGCATTCCACCTGGTGCTAGGAGGAAGAGGTGACCAGATTCTTTAAGCAGTCTTTACGTTGCCTTTTTAAACTGAGCTGTGAACCGGCCTACGCAAGGATGTCAAGCAGAAGTTATGGACTGGGTTTTTCCTGACTTCACCTACTGCTTGAACTACTTAGATACCAGGCAAAATGGGCCAGAGTTGCTTAGCGCACACGGGCAATGAGAGCTCGAGTAAAATGCTTTAAAAAATATTCTTGATTTTGTTCAAATAGGCAATGTGTTTGAGACCATTTAAAACCTCATTGCAGTGTTAGCTGTGCTTGGAGGGTGAGCAGACGCAATCTTGCTTCAGATTCCTAAGAGGAATTTAAGACACACCCTTCCACCAGAACGAACCTGTCTCCTTTTTAAAGACAATAGAACCTAAGTAAGCTTACCTCTTTGTTTTCTGCACCTGCTTGCTCTTTTTTCACAAGGCAGAACTTCTCTTCCTCGCACCCCACTTTCACGCTGAGTTCAGCTTTGAGTTACTGAAAGTAGTTCTGAGCACTAGAGCAAAGGTCGCTGGCATACAGGTAAACACGTCTTTCTCTAAGGTTCACTTCCTAATATCCATGACAACTAAGGAACTGAGTGAGATAGTGTAGTCAACAGTATCCCTGCAGGCCTGTGACCCAAAAGGCTTCTCTGGTGGCCACCTCCCAACACTCAAACATACCTCAGTGTCTTTTTTTTCCTCTGCAGAATTGTGCTAATTGAAAGCATAGGCACTGGTAGGTGTCGGTGTGTTTTCGTGCTAATTCTGTGCCAGCATTTTGATTTTGTTTTGTTCTCCATCCGAGTTGTTTTAACTTTCAGCATCCTAAAGGTTGTCCTCAGATAGAAAATCAGCTTCACAGGACCAGCCAGCTCCCCAACATTCTTCAGCAATTAAACGTTCCCAGTGATTTCCTAACCAATAACCAGTTTGTTTTTTATCTTATGTATTTATTTATTTATTTATTTATTGAAAGAGAGTTCCTCTATGTAACCACCCTGGGTGTCCTGGAACTCACTTGTAGACCAGGCTGGCCTTGAACTTAGAGATCTGCCTATCTCTGTCTCCTGAGTGGTGGGATTAAAGGTGTAAGCCACCACTGCCCAGCCAGATGAGACTCTTTATGTCATTCTCCTTCATGCATTGGCTAATGGAGGACTATGAACTTTTCTCGACCTCAAGCCAGGGTCTTTGTGTAACTGCCTACACTTGAGCTAAATCTCCAACCCCTCTCAGAAGAAAGAGAACCGCGTAGTTACGCAGCCATATGGGCAGGAACCCTGCAGAATAAACAAGATACACAGAGTGCCTGCGTGGTGCTTGGGTGCTATTATGGGATAGTGAACTCCGACCCCTTCTTCAAATAGGTACTTGTTTTCACTGTTCTATTGCTGTGAAGAGGCACCATGACCACGGCAGCTCTTATAAAGAAAAGCATTTAATTGGCCCTTGCTTACAGTTATTTTCAGCATTGCTGGGAGTATAGCAGCATGCAGGTGGACATGGTGCTGGAGAAGGAGCCAAGAGTTCAACATCTGGATCCACAGGCAGCAGGAAGAGAGAGATTCATTGTGTCTGGATGGGGCTTCTGAAACCCCAAAGGCCACCCCTTTCAGTGACATACTTCCCCTAACAAAGTCACACCTACTCTAACAAGACTACATCTCCTGATCTCTTTCAAGTAGCACCACTCTCTAATGACCAAGCATTCAAATATATGACCCCATGGGGGCCATTCCTTTTCAAACAACCTCAGTGATATTTGTTATTAATATATCTGCAATGTAGCAAAATATGTTGTAGAGGGAAAGGAATCCCCTTTCGATAATCATTTGAAATCTAGAGTAAAGGTAGAATTGTATGAAATATAAATCATATTGATAACTTGTTGCAGTGTGTGATTCTGGACACAATTGATTTTTTCTAATCACTAGTCATTTCATGACAAACACACAAAGAGATGTTTATAGCTGGTCCTGGAATTTTACCAGATACTTCCCAGGTTTAGCTGTGGCTGTTTCTGTAGCGATGCTTGATGGCTTCTCATGATGGCTTCTCATACTGGGCCAGGCATTGGGCTTTAGAGTCTTTTTTTTTTCTTATCATCCTTTTGCCTACTGGGCACACGTTAGAAATCTAGGTCTGCTTAATAGAGGAACACATGCATGATTTGTGGAGCCATCGCAGGTGTCAGGAGCTCCCCGAGAACCCTATCCTCAGCAGTGTGAATCTCACCCACACAGTCCTGCCTTAGCTGTCCCTGTGAGTGCTTCTGGAATATACCCATTTGGGAAACCTAAATGCACAGGAGATGTGCAATACATGTTGAAGCCTGCAAGCATCTCAGTCCTTACAGTGTCTGCAATATCTTCCCCTGTAATAAAGAGATGTTTTCTGCAGAATCCTTCTCTTTAGTTGACACAAGGTGAAAACTGAAATAGTGAATAACCTTCTAGTCCCCCCTGTAGGCTAGAACTGAGCTTCCATTAGTCCTGCAATTTTCTGTTACAGATCACCTTTAATGGCCTTATGAATGTCTGAAGTTGCTGTCTTCGTGTCTAGTCTAACTGCTTGATGTAATGCTAATAATTGTAATTGAGGGTCTCTTATAGCAACAGCTCCTGTTGACATAACCAAAGATGATTTTCCAGCAAAACCTGATTTCGTTCTGTTTCTGGCTTCATCCAGGAAGTGACTGACCTCTGTTTTCTTTACTGTCTTTTATTTGGAAGAGATTCAGTATCTATGACACCGTGGCTCTTTGATGCAGTCTCATCCCCTAGCTAGTGCTACTACAGGACTAGGGTGATCGATTGTTAAACTGGTGATTTGTCACGGGTAGCAACCCATGAAGCAGTGGCGGGTTCATAGTGAGTGCTCAGAGATGGTACCTGCTGTGTGTATCTCCTTATATTACCACCATGCTTGCTTCTTACTTAGTCGAAGTTCCTGGCCCACAGAATCACCCTCTCTTAAGTACCTTAATCACTAAAAGTGGATAAAAACCTATCAGTTGTGTTTCTTATATAATCGCATTAATTATCTGTAATAAGATTGACACGTTTGCTCTTTGGCAATGGTAGAATGGATTCAATAAGAGCAGTTTTATTTGATTTCCTGATAGTCATTTTTACTCTCCTAGCGCAATACATATTTAATATCTAAATATAAACCTAGAGGAACTCATTCCAGCTTCCATATGAAAGACATCATTGCATTTTATTTTCTACATGTCCTATGAAAACTATAGAATATTGATTATAATGATGCATTGCGTTGCTTGAATTATTCCTGTTATTTCCTCTGGTGGTAAGAACTTCCTTCCTACCACTAAAATGTCAATCATCATAGGTAACGATTTAATCAAAAGAATCTTGAATTTTGACTCAAGAAAAAGGTGTTACAATTCAATTTGTGTGGTGTTATGTTTCCCTGATATTATTCAGTGTATAAAGCCATTTTTGCCCTTGTTTGTAATAATGAAGCCAGACCATTTATATTAGAAATCCAAGAATGGTAGCCCAAAGATAAATTCAACTTCAATTTATTGAGACCTATTGGCAGAAAGCAATTGACCGTAGACTCTTGGTAGTGCATCCCTTTGCAGTGACAAGAAGAGGTCTTTGACAGGACAGAGCCTCTGGGTGTTGAGGCTTACATGTAAGGACTTGTAAGCAGATATAGTTATCACCATGGAGGTAGGGAGTTATTGGTTAATGAAGAAGCTGCTTTCAGCCAATGACTTATCAGAATATAGCCAGGCTGGAAGAGATATATAAAGAGAGAGTAGGCAGAGTCAGGGAGAAGCCATGTAGCCACCCACAGGAGACAGAAACCTCCGCAGGAGTCCACTGAAACTTTGCCAGTATTCCCTGACCTCGTGATGATGCACAGATTAATGAAGATGGTTTAGTTTAGAATATAAGAGCTAGCTAGGAATATGCTTAAGCTATTGGCCAAACAGTATTGCAAATAATATAGTTTCTATGTGATTATTTTGGTTTTGGGCAGCCAGGAACAAACAAGCAGCCTCTGCCAACAAAGTAAGAAAATGTAAAAAAAAATCTATATTTTAAAAAAGTAATTTTGCTTCTGCACTAATACTTCAAGAGGAATGATGTTCTCGGTGGGATAACTAAAGCTGAGCAAGACTGCCGGGTAACCCAGCAGTTGACTTTGAAGAAGTTCATTTCTAAGAAAAATGTGTAGGTGGGAGGCTTCTTGTTTGTTCCCAGCTGCCCAGAACCAAAATAACCACACAGAAATCTGTATTAATTACAACACTGCTTGGCCAATGACTTAAGCGTATTGCTAGCTAGCTCTTGTATCTTTGGTTAACCCATTTCTATTAATCTGTGTATCTCCATGTGGCTCTGGCTTACGGGAAAGGTTCTGGTGCATCTGTCCCCAGCAGCAGCTACATGACTTCTCTCTGACTCCGCCTACTCTCTCTGTAGATCTCTTTCAGTCTGGCTTTACTCTGTTAAGCTATTGGCTGAAAGCAGATTTATTCATTAACCAATAAAAGCAACACATAGGCAGAAGGGCTTCCCACAGCAAAAATGCATGTGGCACATGCCCATAAAACTGTAGGTCAGGAACGACGTAATTCCTGATAGCCTCCAAACAGAAGCAGCCCAAATGCCCACTGGTAGTAGAAATGGATAGGTACCTTTTGGTTAAGATCAAGTCTAGCGGCTGTTTCCGGATTTTACCAAATTCATCATCTCTGTTTTCTTTCTTGGATGAAGAATATATTCTGTTGGGTTTGGGGTTGCTTTTTAAGCACAGTTCTTGAGGATATATATATGTGTGTGTGTGTGTGTGTGTGTGTGTGTGTGTGTGTGTTATAATATTTCATCTCTTTGGCTTTGCCTTTGCTATCCAAGAATGCATGCTCTCCATTACATTACTGTTAGGTTTCTGAATCAGCCAACCCACAATATACATCAAAGAAACATTAGAATAGAAACAGTAGGTGTGAGTGTAAGTCAGCTTGTTTATGGCATTTGGATGGGTAATAAATATTCTACATTGGTGCTGTACCTTTATTTGCATAATCCAGCTTTGAAAATATTTGGATTATTACATGCTTACTGCATAGGAAGTTTCTCTAACGGTTGTCTTAGTAAAGCAAGGTTCAAAAATGCCTCTGAATCTTTAATTTTTCTTAAGGCTTTATGCTTATGAAGCAAGCATGTAAGGATTTTATTCATTAAAAACTTGAATTAAACATTATGATTGTCAGGTTGATAATATTGTTCAAAAGAAAACAATTTGCATGAATCATTCACCAATCAATCAATTCTGGGTTTTTTTGGGGGGAGGGGGGAGCAGATGTTACAGCAGGCAAAACATTTTGTTTAAAGTCAAATGAATGTTTTTTGTTTTCATATTCATTCAAATAAATAGAAGTTCATATAATTTCTCTACTTTTAACCTCTTTTTACGACTTTCCTATATTAGGAATTTAATGACTGTTTCAGTAGTTACGTCCATCATGCCTAGGCATTTACTAGAACATACTGTAGAGAAGGCACATGTTTGCAGTATGTTCACTTTCAAGTGTATCTAGTGGTTTTTAGCAATTAACGCTGGTAACAATGCTGATCTTAGCTGAATTATACTTGAAGTGAAGGCTTTCTAAAATCATCCTCTGTGTGTAGCTCGTCACTAGGACCTCATAGCATTTCTCTATGTCTGTTTTCTGTAGTCCAAACAGACCAGTCTCCTATGATGACCATAACTTTTGATTCATATCATGTGTATCATTTCAGCTATGAGCCCTCAGTAGATTCCAAATGAGGACTCAAAAGAAAAGATGTTTTTGCTAGGTGATTCTTTAACAGTACAGTACTGGCTTGTGTTGTTGCTGTCATCATTATCATCATCATCATCATCATCATCATCATCATCACCACCACTACTGCTGCCTGTGATGGAGAGACACACTTTAGAGACTCTTCTGGGCCCAGAGAAGCATTTGTGCCCTTCCTGTACCCAGAGAGTCATTTGAGAAAGTCTTGGTTGAGAGACTTGCTGCTTGTAACCTTTATAGACTGAAGAAGTCAGTAGTTTGCCCACATAGGGATTGGAGTGGGAAATTGCCTTGAACCCGGTCCGAAATCTGTAAGTTCTATATTTAGACGCTCAAATGGAAGTTCTTGCAGTTAGAGACTTTGTCTTGATTTTGTTTTCCAGGGCCAGCCAGGGGACCAGGCTGCTCTCTTTACTGCACAATCACGGCCCTCCCCTCAGCTCCCTCAGTATCCAGGGCTGCAACAAGCACAGGTACCCATGTTGGCTTTGAAGCGAAGCTACTTTCTTCGTGTTTTAGTGCCGTTTGTTGGGGGTAGGAGAGCAAGGAAACTGCTTAGCCACTAGATCAAGAACGTACTTCTGCTTCACAGTCTCAGAACCGTAACTGTTGACTAAGTCTCAGAATTGCCCAGGAAATTCCTCAAATAGAAATGTAAATAAATCCAGACATTTTGTCTGCTGATGAAGGATATTGGAGCACTTGAGCCAATGCGGTGACACACACCTGTAACATGCACCCAGAAGCAGATGCAGGAGGATCGAGATGAGCCATGCTTATATAGTTCAAAATTAATTAATTAATTAATTAATTGTTTGAGAATCTCAGAGTTGTTTATGATATAATGTGTAATGGCATGATTTGCTATAGAAATTTACATGTTCAAAGATAACTTCTGTGAGAAATCACAGTAGGACAAGATAATGGGCTCATGAGTCGGGTCACAGTAAAGATGCTGTTGGCTCGGTAGCTGTATGACTTTGTGCTACGCTGAGGTCTAACCTCCTCTTTGTAAGATCAAGAGGAAAGATGTAGGATTCTTGGTGACATATGGAATTAACCTGCTACATACACAGTATGTTATATGCCGAAAATATTCAAGAAGTGGGTGCACTCACCTTCAAAAACTGCAGGCCTTTATCCACCCCTCCCCTCGGAGTTTTATTGTTTCTGCATCCTTACACCCTTATGCCTTTCCTTTTATACAGAAAGGTCTGGTCTGGCAAGGCTTGTATTGGAGCTGGCAGTTTATTCTGTGTATACAACTGAAAGGAGTGCCATGTTTACTTACAGGGTCCTGAGGCTGGTGCATGTTCATTATGTATCACCCTTGTCTTCAGAGTCCTGGTCCTTAAACTGCTTTAATATGTGGTGTTTTGAGGACCCAAGAGACTAGGCTGCCCCCTGTTCAGTGAATTGTATCTTATGATCCAGAAAACTCCATGTATGTCTTTTACGCAGGTGTTAAGGTTTAGAGAAAATAGGTACTTGTATTAAAGAGATAGTATAGTCTATAGATGATAGTGATATTGTTTGAGTCTTGTTGGATGTTGTCACCATCTGTGCACTGAATATGTAGCTACCTTGCTGATCATTTCTGTGTAGAGAGATGCTTTTCCTAGTCCAAAAATAAGCAACTCAAAAGCCAAAGGAATATTCAGTTATTTTGAGCTAGAGATTTCTGTGAAATCACTGCCCAACTAGCCTATTCTGTAGGTTTCTGGCTAGATTTTGTTTTTGCCTACAGAGTAGCCATCCTCATATTTTGAGTCATCAGAGCCATTGCTAACCATGAATTTCAGGTTGGGCTTCCTGCTCTCCCCCCATTTCTTAGTGATGGGGATGCGGGTGCTAATCACCGCACTGACTTCTCCCTTTATCCCTTCCTGCAGACCATGCCCCAGGGCTACACAATGTATGGGACACAGATGCCTTTGCAACAGGCAGCTCCGCAGCAGTCTGGAGGTGTGGTCCTCTCCCCCAGCTACAACTCCAGAGCCTATCCGGCCGCACATTCCAGCCCAGCGCTGATGGAAAGACTCCGCCAACTCCAGCAGCAGCCTAGTGGCTATGCACAGCAGCAGGCCTCGCCGTACCTGCAGCCCGTAGCTGGCTCTCAGAGGTGATACCTGTTGAAGTAATTGCAATAGTAAACCCTCTCGGCCTTGGGTTTGTTACACTTCTTCCAGGCATTTGATACTGTGATGGCTTTTGAGCTCCTATATTTGCGTCCTGACATCTCATTTTTATCAACATGCAGTGGAGGTTCCAAGTTCTTCCATTCCAGAACACCGTAGTTTTGACTCACTTCTTCCAATGTGTACTGTTTTAAGATTTTTCAGATGATATCAGCATGTTAGTGCTAATGTTCTTCCTTTTTTCCTTTTACTCAAGAGATTTTTTTTTTTTTTTATTAAAAGTGTCCGATAAAACTGTTGATCGTTGTTAGCAGTGCCTTTACTAGAATTTGCTGCCCGGAACCATACGATTTAAGCTGTAGTGCTAATCGTAGATGGCGCTTGACAGAGTTTTGTTCCAGCTTTGTTTCTATCTTTTCCACCTCAGCGATGACTCACCATAGACTCCCCTGGGTCTTGTTTGAATGGCATCCCCTCCACATAGAGTGTGTCTGTACTGCTCACCGTTTTAGCTGCTGTCCATGCATGGCTAAATTTCAATTAATTAAAATGGACTTAGCGTTCCGTTCTGCAGGCACATTGGTCATATTTCAAGTGCTCCTTAGCCAGCTGTGGCAAACATGGCTAGCTTTGAGGTTCATTGTCTATGCAGTGACACGGAGACCTGGTGTTTGTAGAAGCTCCATCTTCAACTAGATGTTCTGCCATCTCTTGAAATGCTGTTGTTTTGACCAAGGAGCCCTGCCATTTTGTTTAGCTCTAAGATCTGATAATCGGGTAACTAGTCCTAGTCGCGAAAGGCCATTTCACTGGATGGCACAGATAAAAATCATGATCATTAACGTATTATCCAGTCCCATTGGATAATAAAGTTCAGAAGAGTTAGGTTGGTAACGTTCTACACTGTAAAGTGGATCGCAGCTTAGCTCCCATGTGTTCCTGTCAGTGACTACCTACACACCTGCTCAAGGTAATTGCTGTCTGAAAAGTAGGGAGGTGGATGTAGCACATTATGGGAAATAAGTTCATGTGTAAAACATGCTTTCCCATGTTTATCAGTAAGTCTCAGCATGACCAAGCTCAGTAACTTGAGCTTCATTGCCCAAAAATTCCGGGTTCAGATCCCACCTGTGCCGTTTGTCCTTTAGGTGAGCTTAGTGATTGCTCGATCTTCCTTCATTTTTAAAGTCAGATGATCAAGCTACTGGCTCACAGGGATATGTAAGGAGTCATGAAATACTACTGTCCAGCCTTTCCACTCGTGGCCTGCTCCAAAGTAAATAGTAACTTATTTTGCGTATTGCTAACCACTGGTTTTTTAGAAGTAATTTCTGTCTGATTGCTACTTGGTCTGAAGTAGTGTGCTTACTATCTTCTTCTTCTTCTTCTTCTTTTTTTTTTTTTTCAATGTGGTCAGATGTGTTATCTGATCCTCTGGCCCTTCCCCATTTTTAATTGTACACATGATTACTGAACACGAGTTGTCTCTTGGTGGATGTGTGTAAAATGCTGGAGGCACTGATTGACACGTCAATGGTACGCCTGGTTCCTGAACACAAGTTGCATTATTCTTTGCCAGACTGAACCACCAGGCTCTACAGCAGAGCCCTCTGGTGGGCGGGGGAATTGATGCTGTGCTGACTCCCGCACATCCCACCCTCCCCTCGGTGCCCCTGCCTCAGGACCCATTGAGGCCCAGACAGCCGCAAGTTCGACAGCAGCAGAGACTCCTCCAGGTATGGGGCAGGGAGGTGAGGGCAATGCCATCCCTTCCAGTAGTACAGACACAGACTCTCATAATGAAAGACTCTTTAGATTGAAGTATTAAGTTCCCAGGAGCCCTGTGTATCTGACACTAGCAACTTAGCTAGTACTAGTCCACTGTCGTTCCAAAAAGGAGCGTTTTCTCGGTACCTGCCAGGCCGTGAGCAGGAGACTCCATTTCACACAACCATTTCCCTTCCCCAAAGCCTCAGGGGGCACGCACAAGCTTTAGTTTAAATGTGGAGCTCAGCTCGCCCCAACACTGATGGACCAAAAACCTACAGTTTGAATGCAAAATTTCATACACATGAGGGAGAAATAGCTAGGAACAAACATAGCTTTCCACCATTTGGTGTTCGTAACATTGTGTTTCTATCACACTTCTGCTCTACTTAAGCCACGGGGTTAGAGTAGCATAGGTTACATCCCTTGGAGGCTTCTGTGTTAAGAGTCCAGAAGGTATAAAGACTTGACACTTCCTGGTAAACAGCCCCTCCCTTCAGCACATTCTTCTTTCTGGTTTCCTTGTTCCAGTATTATGGATAGAGGATGTGGCTCGTTGGCAAAGCTCCTGCTTGGCATACACAAGGCCCTGGGTTTAATACCCAGCACTGGAACTTGGGAGGAAGGGAAAGCTGGCAGCCTGGCTATTATGCTAAATCTGTGCCAATTCTTTCTTTCTTCTTTTTTTTTTCATTATTAACAAGTGATTTTTTTTTTGTGTTGGAGATTTCTTGATAAAACTGTTAAGTGGACTCTCTTGTCAGGTCCAAAATGAGATGCAGCTTTATTTTTATGGACCTACATAGAAATACTGGGAGATTTGGAAGCTAATGGAACAGGGTAGATGCAAGGGGAGAGCTGTCTATGCTCTGTGAGGGAAGCAGGCCAGAAAGCCATCATGCAGAAAGGAGCACAAAGGAAACTGTGTGGCTCAGCTTTTCCACTGGAAAGAGAGAAAGAAAAACAGTCGTTCCCTAAGAATTTAAATTGTAAGCCCAGGTGCAGGTTGAAGTCTGAATCTAGTATGCTCTGCAAAATTGTAGTTGATTGTATCTAAAGGTAACAAGGAGAAGTCAACCCAAACCCTCTAGAACTGAGATCCAATTTATAAGGTACCTCATTTTGAATATACTATCTTGAAAGTTGTGATAACTGATTTGGGTCAGTGTAGCCTACCAATGTATAGTCCTTTTCATTGTATAGATGCTATTGCCAAGGTGGAAAAAACAAAAACAAAAACAAAAAACCTACTCTTGAATTTTGTCATTAATAAAATGGAAAGATTATTTACCCATGTACCAAGGATTAAATAAGAAAATTCAAGTAAAGCACTGGTTTGATGTTATTTCTAATATTTTTTCTAAGATAACTATTCAACAGAGAATGATTTGTTCTTAATCCACCTTTCTACAAGTTTGGAAATACTTTTCAGGACAGCTATTTGAGTATCTCTGTTTTAAGATTTGTTACTTTCAACTCACCAAGGAATCTTGCTGTGTTGCTTACTTATCTCTCTCTGCCTTCCAAGGGCGTTTTCAAGGTTGCAAATAAGTCATTTCCTGACTAGGTGACATGTTCCTTTTTCCCCTGTGAGTGCATGCCCCAGTAATAGTTCTTATCGACAACATCCCCCTGGAGATAAAGAAAGGCAGGGAACTTGTTCCTGTGTCTCAACTACATTTATTCCTCTTTTTATGATTGACTGTTGGCATAAAGAAAAAAAGTCATCAATCGAGAAGTTCCTCTTTCTTGAAAGATTTTTGCAGAGAACCAAGTGGATGGTGGCTTCTTATTGCAATGCTTCTGGTTCAACCTACATTGTTTATGTTGAGACTCACCCTGTCTAGACCTTTGCTAGAATGACAAATCTACAAACATTGCACATCTGACAGTACCTAGTTGGTGTTCTCACTCTTTAAAAAAGTCAAGTAATTTGGGGAATAATATGTAGACAAATTTGAAAAAATACATATGAAGAAAATCTAGTCGGGTCATCAAAATGAAGTATTTGGATGGAGTAATTAAAGGCCACTAAAAGATTTTTTTTTGTTGCCTTGCACATGATGCATACTTGGTTTCTTCTGTGTTGTAGAAGTGTTTTCCAAGACCTATGTGTCTGAGCCCACTTAATCTGGACATACTTTCTAGTTTCATGCTGCTAAGTCATTTCAGAATTTCTGTGGGCTAGTTTATATTCTATAAAATATAAAATAAAAATGGACTCCAAAGGTATCCCCCTAAATATCAGAGAAGATAATTCATGATGGGTGTCACCTGGCAGTGTGAGACGGTAGCTTGTGGGTCTCCAGGCAGGGGATGTGAAAGAAGTAGAAACAGTAAGTGCACAGGATGTCCCTGGACAGCGAGCATTGGCTGCCAAAGGAAGTCAGCTGGAACTCGGGGTGGTCTGAGGAGCTTTCTTGGAGGAGCAGTTTTGTATCTTACACTTGAAGGAAGAGCAAGGTTTGACAAAGTAAAGATGGAAGTTGAAAGGGTACAGCCTTGCTTCATATAATGAAATTTCTGCCAATTACTGACTGGTGTGACAGTGATCCCCGCAGATTTTAGTGTAGCTAAAACACTCCTTGACCTCATGACGTCATAGCCTTCATTAACATCATAGCATCATCACAGCACACTGCCAATGCGTTTGGATCTTTCCGGCGTAAAGAAACCCTATCCCATTGCCAAGTATTTAAAAGTATCACAATAGTTAACGTGAAGTGCTTCACACTGGAAAAGGATCATCTCCACCGCCCCATGTGTCTGCTTATTTCCTATACTCTATGTTGTTATTTTTTAGTATTATCCTATTTATTGAAATACCTTTCATTATTGGAGATGTGCCTCAGTAGTGGAGCGCTTGCCTAGGATGCAGGAGACCCTGGGTTGGGTGATGAACATCAGAGGTTCAGTCTGTGATAAGCAGCATGTTGTGTTGCAGGGTTTTAGCAGCAGCTGCCTCTGCATCCTGTGTTTTCCATGTCTCTAAATTGCATCCTTTATCTTGTGCCTCATTCAGTCTTATTTCATTTTGTTCATTGTGGCCCCAGTAATAAGCTGTTCGGTGTATCCCACAGCCCGGGTGTGTGGTTGCCTCCACCACCTTTCTTTTTAGTACATGATACACTGTTCAGGCAATGCAAGAATCACCCGTGCCACATTTTTGAGACTATGTCCAACCATCATTTTGCTGCAGTGGAACAGATAAAAATGTGCATTAGTAAAAGCTATTCAGACATGTCTTAGCCCCACAATTTCAAGGGTCTACCCTAATCTTTTTCTTTCTTTCTAGATGCAGCAGCCCCAGCAGGCCCCCCAGCCCCAGCAGCCCTCACAGCCCCAGAGTCAGGCCCTTGGTCTCCAAGCAATGCAGCCCCAGCAGCCTCTGGTAAGGACCTGATGTTTCGGAACCAGGATGTGGGTTTCTACTTTAAAGTAGGTTCATTGTCCACAGCCATGAAATTTTAAGAGTGAAATAATCTGGATATACCTGGCCAGTTTTCCTATAAGTCTGTCAGGGTTTGGTTGATACAGTAGTTGACATATTTGATTTTTTAAAATGAATAATTAATATACACTAATAAAAATTTCAATATTCAAATAAAAATTATGCTTTAATAAGTAAAACCATTTTTCTTTTTGAAAAAAAAAAGTAGAGCATTCAACGGATGAAAACCTTACCAGTGAGTTATTAAGCATTTTTTAATAAATAGTAAAGAATGATTTCATATGCTCATTAAGATTATCTTCCTTAGTGTTTTTTATAACATTCTTAGGGTTCATGAAAGTACTTTGTAAACTATGGCCTGAATAATTAAATGAAATCTGTTTTTATTCAGTTAGTATTTTCTGCAAGAATTTGCATGTTGTTCATAATCTACATTCTACCTCTCTAACTTTTCAAGTTGAACGTGGGGACATGGACACACCATGGATGCTTTGAAAGCTTGGGTGATTTCCAAGGGCTTGTTGACTGTGAGTTCTCCCTGGGGCCTGTAGGCTGCTATACTCACGGCCCCTGGGAAGCAGCAGTGCAAGTGGTTATCACCGCAGGATTCAGAGAACCCGCTTCATGGATCTGTAGTGAAGAAAAATAGCATGGAGCCATGGCAGCACAGTAGAGAGGGTTGGTAGAATGACTTGGTTTAGCCTTGACCCAAGCAGGATTCTCCTACTGTGAAATCAGCCTAGGAGGGAGTCCCCTAATATATAACACTTGCTGCTCTGGCCAGCTGAGTCCTGTTTTTTTAGTTCCCTTATACCAAAGTTCTAGCTTTTCCAGCTTTGGTTGTTTCTGTTTTAAAAATATTCCTGACATTTATTGCAATCGACTTCAACCATTTTTGTTTTGTTTTAAGTAGAGGCAATATGGAACTTGGCTCTTTGTCACCAGGAGCATAGAGCGGGCTAGGATGTCTTTTTGAAATACTGTAAGGAAAAAAAAAAAAAACTTTCAGATAGAACGCTGCCTGCAGACCCAGTGTTCCACCCGGAAGTAAGTTCTAACGTGTTTTGACATAATTCCAAATCCCCAGAAAAGTTTTAAGAACAGCACAAAGACTCACCAAACTGAGTGCCCGGTCGCCACGTTCCTTTCTGATTCACTCTCTTCCTTTAGTTCCTGATCATATTCTCCCGATCTCCACATAGCAGTAAGCTATAGCCACATACCTCTTTAATGTTAAATAGTGCAATTTGTTTTTTCCCCCCCAGAGCAAGATGGGTGGAGATGTAGTTCAGTTAACAGAGTGCTTGCCTAGCATGAATAAGGTCCTGGGTTGGATCCTTAGCATTGCAAAACAAACAAACCCACAAACGTAAAAATCCCTGACTCCGATTTCTACAGTCAGGAAGCTGAACACTGATGCAGTATTATGATGTATAAATGGTTTTTTCGCAGATTACAGCAGTGGTAATTCAGTATCCTTCACTGCCTGTGTTTTCCTGGTTCGGCCTCATTGTGCACTATTTAGCTTCCGTGTTTACTTTTCCCAGGTTGAATTTGCACCAATTCCCCACTGCCCCACACTTTGTCTTAGTGATGGTGGCGTAGCTGTTTTATTTTGTAAATGTTACTCAGCCTGATTTACTGCTTAATCTGGACATCAGCCAGTTTACGTAGTGAAGAGATGCTGCACCTTACCCAGTCAGAACACCACAAGAAGTTTTGTCATCACTATGGAAGTGGGGTCTCTTGGGTTCCCATTATAAAGTTACCAACCACTCCTTTTTAAGGGATGTATTTCATCCAATCTGTCCTGTTGCCCATCAGACACTCACCCACCAGCGTTGACAATGGCTGTCTTTTTCCATTTCCCCTGTAGAAGGAGAAAAAAACGCTTACTTTCAAATGCTGTTGTTTTGTTTCTAGTGATGGTATCCCACTCAAATAAAGAAATTTCCCTTTGATGTTTGTCTATCTTTAGCTCATGTTTCAAATAAAAAGAAAGATGTTTTAAGGATTTTATTTGTTTTAATTATCTGTATATTTGTATGTCTGAGTGTTGGGGTATACTTGTGAGTATAGTGTATAACAGAGACCAGAGAAGGCACTGGAACTGAAGACGAAGGCAGTTGTTAGCTGCCTAAAGAGATGTGGGTGCTAAGAGTTGAACTTAGGTCATGTGGAAGAGGAGTGTTGGCTCTTAAAGCTGAGACATCTCTCCAGCTCCAGAAAGCATATATTAAAAGTGAAATCTAGCATTTGACCCCTTCATTGTAAACCTTTGCCACTACTAGGAGCAGTTAAAATTCTTATTCCCACTTTACTGTTTGTTGCTGTATAGCATCAGTTAGTGAAATTTGCTGATTTTTAAAAAAAAAAAATCACCAAAAATCTTTCCTAAGGCTGAAGTTGTAACTCAGTGGGAGGGGCCCCTGCCCGGCATATGCAGGACCCTGGGTTTGATCTCCAAGACAATAAAACACTGAAAACTTTTCTTTCTGTTGACTAGGTTATTATGCCAGACAAAGAAAACTTAAGAATAGGCTCCGTTTTCTTTCTATACACAAGACATTCTAAAGGTGTTTTGACAGAAAACCAGGGTTTCTGCAGTTAGGTTATGTTGAGTATTTGATACTGACTGGGAAGAGTCTCCTTTCATCCTAATGGAAAACAAGATTGCCATGCTGCGGTGCTCTTGTTACTAGTAGTATTGCATGGGATCCTGATGGAAGTGCCTTTCACATAATTATGCCTTCCTAGTGATTTATGATGCAGATGAGTCCTTTACTATTAAATGTAAGGAACCCAATAATTTGGGAATGGTAGCTTGTATAGCTAGTAATTTCTAACAAGAAAATGATTGTACAGTACCATTTTAACAAAAACATAAACTTTGAATTTAGAACTACAATTATTGTTGAATATATGATACTTATTGCATATTTTAAACCTGACTCAGATATGTAATAAAAATATGCCTTCACAAACAATAAAATTTCTATGCTTAAATTACCTATAGTTATTTATATTTAATCTGTATTTTTCTTACAATGAGAGTTTAAACATTCAGTCCCACGAATATATAGCTGCCATCCTCAGATAAGTCATTGTTACTTTAAAAAAAAATGGCTTTAGGAGCTGAGGAGACGACTCATTTGGGAAAGTCCTTGGCACAAAAGCACAGGAACCTGACTCCAGATCCCCAACACCTACATGTGACAAGGCAGGCTTGGCAGTGTGCCTGTGATTCCAGCAGAGGGCGGGATTGCCAGAGCTCACTGGCCCATCCGCCCAGCCATTGGCAAGCTCTAGTTTCACTGAGAGCACTCATGCAAAAATCACAGTGGGGAGCAACAGAGAATAACACCGGATGTCAGCCTCTGCCCTCTACATTAGACTTATTTGGGAGTAGGCTGAGGGCTGAGTGAAGGATTTTCTTTTACCTGTTACTAAATCTTACCTCAGTTCATATGTAATATGATATATGATATCTTAGTTACTTTTTTTTTGCTGTGAAGAAATACCATGATGAAGGCCAAGATAAAACAAAACATTTTATTTTATGGGGGACTTGCACATAGTTTTAGAGGCAGAGTCCAGGGCCATCATGGTGAGATGGCATGCAGGCAGCAGGCAGGCAGGGGGCTAGAACGGTAGCTGAGTGCTGACGTCCAGTCTGTAGGCCAGAGGCAGAGCATAAGACTGGGCCTGGCATGGGCTTTTGAAATCTCCAAACTCACCCCCAGTGACATACCTCCTCCAAAAAGGCCACCCCTCCTAATTCTTCATAAACAGTCTGCCAACTGGGAATCAGTTATTCAAACATATGGGCCGGTGGAGACCATTCTCCCTCAAATCACCACGTTTGAGAAATGCAGACCGACTTGTTGAAGGTATAACATGCGCTCTGTTCATAGCATGTGCTCCATAATTCCTGATGAATGGCGGCACCAAATGCCTTACCTCTGGTGGTTACTTTGGATAGAGTAAACAAAGAAACTTAATTCTGTTACTAAACTGTACTGATAGGTCTAGAAGGAAAAATTCTTTAAACCTCCCAGTTACAGTTGAAAGCAGCAGCAGAGGTGTGTGAGGTCATCTAAGATACCCCCTTAAGTCACTAGCACTGGGTCAGAGCTCGTCAAAGGGGACTTGGCATTTTTATATTTAGATCATAGCTTTGTAAATATTTAAATGAGTTAGGGTGTCTAAAGAACATGCAAATTTAGTAATGATTTTTAAAGCGGTATTGGTGATTTTTATTTTTTTATTTTTCAGTTTTTCGAAACAGGGTTTCTCTAGGTAGCTTTGGAGCCTGTCCTGGAATTCACTCTGTAGATCAGGCTGACCTCGAACTCATAGAGATCCTCCGGCCGCTGCCTCCAGTGCTGGGGTTAAAGTGTGTGCTACTGTACCTGGGTATACACACATTTTTAAATTATGATGATGATGATGCCGTCGTGTTTTTCAGTTACTGAACCATTCCTCTGCTGTTAAAATTTTGGAATGTTGCCAGTTTCAAAAATAGTACTGTTAAAGGTGTTTTGGTATGTATTTTATACCTCTTTTTGGTTGTTTCATAATAGGAAACAAATGTGAAAAATATTTGTAACTACTTGTGTATATCAATAGCAAGGGCACAAGGCCTCAGCAGATTTAAGGAAAAAGTTCACTTTTCGTTTTTGATTACTTTCACTGAGATGCCCTATTTTTTCAATGCCTTGGATTCTATTCTTAATATACATCTCTAGCAGATCCATCTCTTGTTTCAGGCCTGCTCCCCTATTCAGTTCCCGTCTTTGGAGAAGGGAGTGGTGAGCTGGCTGCTGAGGAGGGGTGGCCTTGAACTCTGGGCTCTGATCAGTGCTGCACTAAGGGACGAGTGAGTAGCAGTTAGTACCCTCCTGGTGACTTGCCTGGCCACTTCCTGTCAGCCAGTAGTTATAGTGGAATTCAGCAAGTGTTCATTTGGTATATTCAGTAGAGGCCAGCACCCTGTCAGGTGTTAGGGAACTTGCCACGAAAGTGCCAAGTGTGGGGCTGGAAAGATGGCTCAGTGGTTAAGAGCACTGACTGCTCTTCCAGAGGTCCTGAGTTCAATTCCCAGCAACCACATGGTGGCTCACAGTCATCTATGATGAGACCTGGTGCCCCCTTCTGGCATGTGGGCACACATGGAAGGAATGCTGTACACATAATAACTAAATAGATCTTTAAAAAAGAAAGAAAGAAAGAAAGTGTGCTCTTTGCCACCAGGAAGCAAAGAATCATAGGAAATGGCTGAAGGACATTGTTGTGCATGGCAGGTAGCATGTGGTGGCCTTATCTTTTTAGCTTCAGAGCATCAGAGGTTGAATTAACTTGCAAGAACTGCCTTACAAAGTGCATGAACTTAGCTTAAAAATTGGAGTATTTTTTTCCCTGTTGGTTCTGGGAACTGGAAGTGAAAGATCGGGAGTCAGCAATGTTGGTTCCCTCTGTATGTTGGTGGGCGAGCCTGTGCCAGTCTGTTCCAGCTTCTCCCACTGCACCAGCTGTCTTAACCTTCACACAACATCCTTGCTGTTTGTACCACTGTGCCCACGGACCCCTTTTATGAGAATACCATTCATATATCAGGTTCCGTTATAATAAAGTTCATTTTGACCCGATTCCCTCTGGAAAGGCTCCCTCTCCGAATGAGGTCACAATTCGAGGTCCTAGGGTTTAGGACTATAGCTTTTTTTTATTTTGAATGATATAATTGAAGCCCTAACAGAGATCAAAAGACAGAGAAATCTGGGGAGCCCATGGTGGAAAGCTGGAATGTAAGTGACCTTAAAAGGCAGTATTTGACCTGTCCCCTTTTGACTGTTACCTTGGTTGGTTCCCTTTAGTTGATAGCATCAGTTTGGGTCATGGTAGACAGTGACTACCAGCACCCTTGGTCACGTTGATTACTAAAGTGTTTTTAAGGTCAAAACTGCCATGACCTCTTTAAGAGGTCATCAGGAGATTTTTCTGTGAAATGAGCATGGAAGGTTAAGAAAAGCCATGATCATCAGTTAACTGTAGAGACAGTTTAGTGTTCATGTGTGTGCCTTTTGTCTTCTGTGAAGGAAGGACCGCTGACAGTAGACTCTGCCCTTCCTGGGGACATATCTGTGGTGTCTCAATCTTTGCCATAATTGTAGTTATTACAATTATGACTTACAATCCTTATAAGGCTCCTATATTGCGATTCAAGTATTTTTAGCTAAATTTACAGATGTAGTTTCTATTTTCTTTAAAGCTGCTTCTAACATCTAAGAAGATAATATTCACACCGTGCTTCCAAGTATTTTCTTTCCATTTTATGCTGTTCTTAATTAGGTGACCTGAAATACATTGGCCTTTAGGCGAGGCTCCTATTGCATTGCATTTTGCCTTTCAAAAAATGTATATGGCAGCAGCGTTAGTTAATAATACTGTATCTTTGGCCAGCAGCAACAGGCAAGCATGTTATACTGGTCTTCCTCAAGGAGTTCATGTGTTCCGTTCGGAGAAATGGATGTAGTTTTCAGAATGCCCTTGGGATCCAGAAGCCAAATGACACAGATCATCTGGATCTTGAGAATATTAGTAGGGAAGGTCCATAGTCCTTTCTGTTTGGTGCCTGAATTCAAACACCTCTGGAGGTGCAAGAGTAAACAGAAATGATAAGAACAGACATCCAGCTCTTTCCGTGTATCCTAGAGCCACCATGGGGATGCTTGACAGCAAAAGTACAGGGTGAAGGGACGGTCAGGTCAGCCCTACATCGCATGGTGAGAGTTAACCTTTGACACACACTGAATTCCAGAATATCTGTTCCAACCAGTTTGGGCAAATTTAGAATAGTCAGTCCTGCATCAGGATCAAGTGTGGCCATATGTGTTTATAGTGCCTAGAATAGTGCAGGGCATGTAGAAAGAATTGATAAGTAGGATTCTGAATAAGCATTGAAATAACTGATTTTTTTTTAAAAAAAAAAAAGCACTTATCTTACTGACTTTTCCATGTAATGGAATTGTTTTTATTCTATTTTCTAAGAACTGTATGTGGAGAGGCTGGGAGAACTATAACACTGGTATTGGAATTGGCTTATCGGCTTTAGATGTCATATAAACTTACGAGTCAGCTTGGCAGTGCCATCTAAATTAGCACTTTGAATTTCAGGCAAGCAATTAGCAAAAGTGTTTTCTCAAATCTCCTGCTGGGCTACTTGGATTAAATGCAGTTTTTGTCCCATGAAATATTGAATATTAGTGAAATGAATATTATCCATCAGTTATCTGAAGTTCGCATTTAGCTATTCCTTCTGTATTTTATTTCCTATACTGCTGACAATCCTAGGCTACTTTCAGTTACACCGCCGATCCCCGAGGAAGACAGAATCATGTTGCCTTCACACCGAGAACGGTCTTTTTAAAAACTCCTCAGAGATGTGAGGCAGACTAAGGAAAAGCAACTCAAATGTGTTCCAGGCATATCAGACCTCTAAGCCCGGTGGAGGCAGAAGAGCAGAGATGGAGAGATCCAGGTTACCAGATGGAAGAGCCAGGGCCTTCCTGCCTTGGGTGCGCTTGGCCAGCAGAGGGCTATCGCGGGAAAGGCTGGCAAAGTAAAGCAAAGCTCCTTCTTAGCCCGCTTCTGCTCCCACCCTTCCATCTTCAGGGGTGCTCTCTAGGGTGCTGTGCCAGTCTCTGCAGGTGTAGAGGGAGATGGGCAAACACAGCACAGACTGAGGTAAATGGGAAGGGACCAGTGCTGTACATATGACTAAGGGAAGCTTGTTTCAGAGCATCCCTACTGTTTTCAGGCCACCAGAAGGCAGCCAAGGAGGAAACAAGGAAGAAAACAAGGAAGAGCTACTGTCTTGACTTCCAGTGTTCAGAAAGGACAGAGTACAGCTGGTGATTCTGATAGAAAATAATTTTCCTTCTACCAAATGCTGATCAATCCCCCTCCACCCTCGAACATCAGTCACGGCTTCTGGCCTGAGCTTGACGGGTTCTTCATCTCCCTTGTTGTACTTCTGGTCCCCCTCACCCGGCACCACGAGAAAACCCCTTCAAGTCTGAGTTCTTGGTGTTCAGCTCGGCTCTCTCTGCCCTGGCTGTCAACTGAAAGTCACGATCCAAATGAGGTTATGCCAGCACACGTTCTGCCTAGCAGGTTCCACTCTGTCCACGGGGTCAGTGGGCACTGGTCGGACCTCCACACCAGAGAGCTTGCATTTGCCAGCAAGAGGGACTCGGGCTGTCAGGCTATGCCTCCAGCTGGTGACGAGTGAGATGACACTGGTCTTGAATGAATAGGCTACCTCTGTGGTGTGGTCTTCAAGACTCCACAAACAAAGGCCTCCGTGAACGCACTGTTTCCTGGCCTTGTGTACCGGCTGTGTATCGTGTAGACACAAGCAAGTTTAACCACTCTGGGCATGAGCCTTTTCTCTTTAGGCTTGTGACGGTGGCTTGGGCAACCCAAGGTGCAGCCTGTGCCTTGTGTAGCACGGTGGCCGATTCACCCTTCCCCTTGTTGCAATTGCAGTTCCCCAGGCAAGGCTTGCAGCAGACCCAGCAGCAGCAGCAGACAGCCGCCCTGGTGCGACAGCTCCAGAAGCAGCTTTCTAGTAAGTACCCTTCTCGCGCGCGCGGAGCTGGGGGAGCCGCGGAAACCGGCAGCGAGAAGCCTGGAACAGTGGGAACTCCTCAGAAGCGGCACGTGGTCTCAGTTTCAGAGCACCGGCACTGAGTGGTCTCAGTGCCAAGCTGTGCCATCCGCATTCTGACAGTAATGTTTGCTTTGAGTCAGAGGGCGGAGCTAGCCACGAGCCGACCAAACTTAACCATAGAGGTTTCGGAGGACTGTAGACAGATGGGAGACAGGAAGTAGTAAGGCAGGGTGGAGAGAGCTTGCAGCCCTTTTGGATTGAGGAATGGAAGAGAGAGGAGGTCACTGGTGACTTCTTCAGCTTCTCTGATCATTCACAAGCTCTTACCTCCATATCTGACTCCTGACTTTTTATTGATAAAGAATAATTAGATAAGCACTTTGCTACCATTTTATGTATGTTTCTAATTGAAATAGAATTAAATCACCTTCCCCCTCCCTTTCTTTTGTCTAGCATCTCTTGGCTACATTCCGTTAAACCCCTCCTCCACCTCTCCTGTCAAGTTGATAGCTTCTTTTTATTTGACTGTTTTTGTTACATACATATGTACATACACTCCTTTGTACATACCCTTTTTTTATGTTTAACTTAGTCCAAGGCGTTTTATTTTGTTTTAGTTTGATTGGTTTTGGACTTAACCTATTTCTTTGCCTGGAAAAGAAAGACTTTTTCCCCTTAATTCCGTATTTTCCTATTGCTTCTATGTGAACTTCCCAAAGCCCAGCTAAACCCCCATTTTCCTTTTTTGGTTTTGTCTTATGGTGCTGTGTATAGAACCCTGGGTTTCCCACGTGCCAGACACATGTTCTACCTCTTGACTACAGGTCTCTGCCCAGGTGCCATTTTTATAAAGCTCGAACTGTTAAAGGCTCCAGCCTGTGCTTTGGAGCTGGATCATCTCTATACTAAAATCTCAGGACAGAGTCATCTTAGGAATGGACTGAGCAGCCTGTGTTGTGAAACAAAGTGGCCTGGAGTCAGAAGGACTGTGGTCTTCACCAACATGGCTATTATTGACTGGGCCATATTGTCCCCCCGTGCCAAGGAAGATGGCAGACGCTTTCCCCTGGCTTCCGATTCACTGTTTTGAGTTGCAGAGTGAAGCCCACTTCATGCTGACAGTGGTATTCCATGCGCTGAGGGGTGGTAAATACTGCCTTTCTGCCTACATGTTCTGCATGTTGGTTTCCTGACAGAGAGAATACCCCCAACCCCTACTCCTTCGGTCCCAACCAGTCATGCTTGATATCTTGATTTATTTTTAAATTTTAATCATTTTGGTCTTCAACATACAATGTATACCTGTTTGTGCTTTTATGCAACATGTCACCATGTTCAGTGAATACATACCTGAGATTTTTTTTTTAATTTCCAAAGCTTTAATACATGTATTTTTTTCTTGTAGCCTTGCTTAATTTTGGTTACACCAAGTAAACTCAGTTTTTTTTCTCTAGCTGTTACTTAGTCTGTAGGGGCTATTAAATAATTTGTGATTAAACAATGAAGCGGAATGAGGTTTAAAGTCAATATTCTTTCCAAGAATACAGTCTGAAGGCGGAGGTTAGCGCTACGGTATTTACAAGTCAGTCCCAAGGAGCCGGAGAGCATGTTGGCTTGCTCTGCTGTCTCCAATAGGCTGGGGCACTGCTCTCGAGCAAATTAGATGAGTCAGTTTCTCTAATCCCAAAGCAATGTGTTGGCAGGTGTGAGATTCTCACATGGAGAGTCCCCTCTACAGAATGCACTTGGTCATATGGCGTGATTATTGGCCTAGGGTCTAGCCAGTTGATTTGTTCCCCCATACTGGAGGCTGTCCCTGAGAGGAGCACCCGAGCAGAAGCATTATCTTCAGCACAAGTTTGTTCCTGTAACGGTTAACTCTGCTTTTCTACCAGGTAACCAGCCACAGCAAGGAGTGACCCCCTGTGCGCATCCTTCACACTTCTGAATCTGAAAGAGAAGACGCGAAGTTTATGTTTGCACTGAGAAACAGAAAATCAAATTTATTAGTCATCATAAGAAGTCTCCTTTGGTCTTTGAGTTATTTATATTTCCCTATATTTTATGCTACATTTCTTGCAGAGGTATTTAAATAAGTAAAGAAGTTGTGGTTTGGTTTTATCATATTCAAAGTAGGTTGTAAAATATGGATCACGCAGGCCTACTTCAGATAGTGTGGTTGGTAGCTGACCTTTTGAAACTGGTGCTTTTTATCTCATATTTACATAAAGAATGAAGTACGGTAGGTTTAAATATTTATGTATTGATGAATGATTTTTTTTAAGCCTGTGGTAGACCAAACTACTGATTTAAAAGATGTGGCAGTTGTCACGGGTGTATGACACATTCGCTCTGCATCCCCCTGTGAGGGCGGGGCGAGCATTGATTCGCATCGTTCTAATTTGAAATGTTGATCATTTCATAAGCACTTTATAAACTTTGTTCCCAGTTATGAAGGTCTTTGCTTTGCTTTCATTTTTGTGGTCCAAAGGTGCTGAAACAGGTTGTTGTTTAGTACTTCCGCTACTTCAGGGCTTCCGAGATGTGCGGGAGCCTCTTCGAAGTGACTGCACTCCATCTTGTTTCTCGTGACAAGCTCTTTTGCCAGATTCTCCGTGAAGGTACAGCAGCTGCTGGAGGTCAGAAGAGTCACAGTGGAATCAGTTCATTTACTTACTGCCAGTTTTGGTAAAAAAAATAAATAAATACATAACTGTCCAGTTCTGGTTCTTCAGAACCTCATGCCAACTTGAGAAAAAAAAAAGATAAACAAATCTCACAGCTGGCCTTAGATTCTACTGTGCTTAGACTTGACACGGTTTCCAGAGAGTCTGGCTCCATGGTCCAGAAGACTCTGGTAATTCATCAAAGGTGTACTTACTGTTAATTTTGTATGGTAAGTATTTGCTATTTTGAATTTAATTATTAATGTTGGTGTCTGTCTTGGTTGTGTATTGCTTATACTGTATTTATAAACTGGTGCAAAAAGCACAAGTAAAGTAAATTATACATCAAATTTATTATAAAGAAATAGTAACTATTTTAACTTTGTTCAAGTATGTGGTAATTTACTCCTAGTAGAGTGAAAAAATACAGTAAATTATTATCAGTTTGTGTAACTTAAGAGTATTCCATATAATATTTTTTTAGAATTAGATGCATAAAATTTTGAATGTGAAAATTGCAGGGCATTTTAAGACACATGTAGGGATCTTCCCTTGTTCTTTGTTGGGTTCATTTTTCTTTTTGCCATATGATTTCACATGTAATGTAGTCAAGCATACTGTGAATAGATTGTCTGTGAAGAGCAAACCATGTAGAACTACTTTTTAAAAATGTAGCTAGTACAACTTTAGATAATTTCTTTTGCAGATCACTATATAAATAGTTTATATCTTCCTAGGTGAGTTACTCATTCAAATGACCTCAGATCCATGTTTGCTTACTTTGCCATGGCAACATCCATGTGAACTGCTTTGTACACTGTGAAATATAGCCCTCCAGCCTGTTTGTTTTGTGTTTACTCTGGGCTGGAAAAGACTTTGCCAAACATTAAAGACCATTCTTTCCACTAAGTGAGCATTCTATCTGCTTTCGACAATGCAGTCCATTTCAGTAGTCCCCCATGTCAGCTTTGCTTTCTCTCCGGAGTCATGCTTACAGCTCACAAAGCTAGTTTTCTTCAAAGTAACACACCACGTGACTGCATTGGCAGAACCACCGCAACGTGACTGTTGTGTCTAGTGGGTGAGTCACACCCTGTTCTTTCTGGTCTTTACTCAATGGTTATTGGTAGTTAAGATTCCAGCTTCAGTCTGAACCACCCGTTTCTGTAGCTCAGCATCGCACCCAGCAGCAGGAGTGGGAGAACTGCATAGCGTTGGCACGCACTTGACACTTTGCAGAAGTTGGCTTAGTCGTCCGTTTGCACTCAAAGGTGATGGTCTCCTTGTTGCTGTTTGTTCTGTTTCTTGAGATGAGGAAGGTGAGTCATGCTAAGGCCCTTTTAAGTAAGAGATGCACTAGCATCTCTTACTTAAAACCTAGAACTGTTTTCCCCTGTGCATTATAAGGAAAGCAACTGGAATTTTAAAATTAGTTGTTATATTTACTGCCACTTAATTCGGCACTCTGAGAGGGATTTTTATTTATCTTTTATAGCAAATGCATGAGGGTGGTATTACAATGGTTAGAAGGGAAACCCCTATTGTGAATTGCAGATAGGAAATTGTCTTAAGATACAAAGCTCAGCTTTTTAAGATCAGACCTTGAACTATGATGGAATCAGGTATACTTAACCTTAATTTCTGGCTGGAAGGACTCCTTAATTTATGTGTTACATTACAGGCTGATTCATTTTAGGATTGTATTTCTTGTTTTATTTACCCTTCCTCATCTGAAAGTAGAGGTATCATTTGACCTCTGGCAGCCGTAGAGCAACTGATGTTAACAGTAATCAGCTCATGGCTGAGGTAGGCGTGGTGGAGACCCAGTGGAGTTAAGTCTCAAATGATTTACACAAGCTAACAAAGCTTTTGGCTTTAGTGTTCTAAGCTAACTCAGTAAGACTCAAAAAGGCTCCTACCATTCACACATAGATGACTATTTGATCAGAAGCCAGAGAAATTATGCTAAGGAAATTCCAGAATTATGCAAAGGAAATAAAAGAGGAAAGTCATATGATTACCCCCATATATATTTGGGTTGAATTAAACATGGAATAAAAGTACAGTGAATTAAACAAAAAGCATTCAATTTTTAAAGACAGTGAAACTGCATTATGTGTACAAGGTGTAGACTCTTGGAAAGGAGCGATTCCTCCTTAGAAAACCTTTCTTACACATGGCTCCGAACAGCTGGTGCCTTAGCTAGGTTTTAAAGTTATAAAGCAGTTTCATTGTTCTTGCAAAGCCTTTTCAGGGTGACAAATTTGTGGACAAATGTGCAGCACTCTTTTCACATTCCCTGGCATGTGAGCACTGGGCTGCTCTTTCCATGTAGGAAAGCTAGCCTGCATCCGTTTGGTTGGTGTGTTTTTTTCATGCGGGTATTAAAGCAATGAGAATTTTCAGTGTGAACAAGTGATGAACTACATCATAATCAAAACAGTTCAGTGCTTGTTTTCTGTAAGCTTTTTTATCAACATGTTTATAAACCAGTGACAAAAGTATATGTACATTAAGATGTCCATAGACTGCAGATTTCATTTTTCCCAGTGTTTCCCACTCTGAGGGCAATGTGTGTAACATTGGTAGAAGATGGACACTAGGCGGTTGGCAACTGAGAGAGAGAGGAAGCTCTCTTTACTGGAAATTCAGGTGCATTTGCCATTTGCTATTTTGTAGTGGATTGTTTTCTCTCCATGTTTGTTATTTGTTGGCAAAATCAAAGTGCCTTAAGTTAAGAGTTCGCGTTGAAATCCATAGAAACTCAGCATCGGTTCATAATGCATTTATTTTCAAGTCTCTTCTGCATGTCCATTGTAAATTTACTACTGTAAATGTATTCAGATTCATTTCCATGCCTATGGCTGCCTTTGATTAAACTTCTTCCAAAAAAAAAAAGAAAATAATAAACCCTTCAGATGTTGACTCTGCTCAGTTTTAGTTGTTCTTCTTGTCAGATGACTTGAACATAACTTGTTGTGTAATCGGCACCAAGTGGGTTCTGTGCTGTGCATCTGTAGACTCCAGAATCGGAAGATCGGAGATCCTGAATGACCAGGGTGCCTTGTGGGTAAAGCAACTCATTTCCGTGGGGTTTCCTTCCTCTGGCCTTTGAGAGCAGGGAGTGTTCTGGCCTCTCCCAAATAATCTCTGGCTTGGGGACTCCCAGGGCCATACAGTGAAGCCGAAGTGCCTCTCCTGTCCTCCTGACCATGCTCCGGGGTGGGGAGTTTATAATTCGGGGAGGGTGGCCCACGATCATCACCGGAACAGTAACCACCGCCTGGCCAACACTGTTTTGAGCCTGGCAGATATAATTTCCCCTGTCATAAGCGGTCACTTCTTTGATGACCAATGTACCATTTTCATGCAGTATGTATTTTCCATTAACGTGGGGTCTGTCTATTACATAACCGCTTGGCGTGGTCCACTTGACATGTGGCTTAGGGATCCCATCAGATACACAGTGCAGGGATAGAGATTCTCCACTGACGCCCTGCACCATCCCCAGCGCATGCGTCAGGATGACTGGCTTCTGGCCGATTTCTAGGATGACAAGCTTCTCAATATAGCCCACCTGATTTCTAGCTGCACAGCGGTACTTCCCTGACTTGTTCCGAGTTGTTCTATGAATGATGAGAGAACCATTGCTCGCTATCAGATACGGGGAATGTTGCCTTGTGTTAGAAAAGCGCGTGCCGTCAGGGAGGATCCAGATTATTTCAGGGGGCGGGTTCCCATCCACAGAGCAGTCCAGGGCTGTGGACCCGCCAGCCTGAGCGCTGACTTTTTCGTTGAATGGGTTTCTGAACGTCGGTCTTCTCAGCATTTCCAGGACCTCTAGCTGGACCACCAGCACACTCTCACCGCCTTCGTTCCGAGCCACACAGGTGAAGTCCGCTGAGTCGGAAAGCCTGATGTTCCGGATTTCCAGGGTTCCATTCTTATGGACCGTGATTCTGCTCCCATAGTATGGAGCTGTAAGGAAAATGTTGTCCGGCATAATCCACGTGATCCGGGGAGGGGGGCTCCCATCGGCTCTGCAGTCGAAGTGTTTCTTGGAGTGCCGAACAGCTGTGGCTTTAATAACAGTTCGGTTTGTGTACAGGCCATTGATGAGTGGAAGTTTAGAGACAATATCCAGTTTGTACAGTTTGGTGTCATCACCACTAGGGTTCCGAGCTACACACACATACTCCCCAGAGTCAAGCAGTTTCACATTATTAATGGACAGAGTTCCGTTGGCATGAAATATGTACCTGTCGTTGGAGAATGAAATGACGTCATTGGAAGGCAGCAACCAAAATACCCTTGGCTTGGGTTCCCCAATGACCTCGCAGTCAAGAACAGCCGTATCTCCAGCCTTGATCTTCATGTTGGTCTCATAGCCTTGCCGTATCCGTGGGCTGGCCGTCACGACGGTCAGGTGGACTTTCATTTCGTCTTTCCCTAAGGTGTTCTGGGCATAGCAAATATAATCTCCTTCCTCTGCCATTCCAACTCTGTTGAAATACAAGGTGCCATTGTGGAAAAGGGTGTACCTCTTGGTCCTGCGGCCACTATCGTCAGCTTGCACGGCGTTGTTGATCATTGTCCCATCAGGCAGACTCCAGGATACCTCAGGCACAGGGGAGCCAGAAGCCTTGCAGTCCACTTGGAAATCTTTCCCGTGGAGCGCTTGCTGCTTGAAATCCTGCTTGTGTTCAATTTTGGCAGGCGTCAGTCTTAGGCGGACACGCATCAGGATGAGATCGTCTCCCATCTTGTTTCTTGCCACACACAAGTAGGCGCCGCCATCCTTTTCCGTCACCGAGCCAATCGCTAAGGATCCGTTTGGATAAACGTGAATTCGACTGCCCATTCTAAGAAGAAGAGAGACAAACATGAAAGTACAGCTGATTACCGTGGGCGGAGTTACGCTTTTCCAAGACTGCGCATGGAGCTGAGGAGATGGCTCAGCTAGCGCATCGTCTGTTGCATACTTATAAGACCTGAAATTGGATCTCCAGTGCCCACATGAAAGGTACACATGGTAGCGTGCATTTGTAACCCCAGCACCAGGGGCATGGAGACAGGTGGATCCGTGGAGCTTGATGCACAGCTCTTGGAGATGAATAGTTGAGCTCTGGGTTCAGGATCGCTAGAAAGTGATTGTGGAAGACACCTGCTGTTTAGTTACCTCTAGCCACCCCACATGACACACCAACATGAGCGTGGGCGTACACACGAAAAGACTAAAACTTTGAGACCAACATAAGCATATTTGTGGAATATCATACTATGTAGAAGTGGCCTGCTGGATGTGATGTTGCCTCCCTCCAGCCTTGCCAAGAGATGACTGCAGTAGTTGTACATATAAGTTATTTCCTGTGAAATACTGACACACAGATAAGATGACATCATTGTTAGAGTCAAGCTTATCATCACCATATCTACCACATCCTGTGAGTGTGTGTGTGTGTGTGTGTGTGTGTATGTGTGTGTGTGTGTGTATTATGCTTGGCATTAACTGGATATTTCTTAAAATGTTACAATGAAGATCTTAATCACCTACTGTTATCCAAACCATTTGCTTAAAAAAAAAAAACAGCTCTATAACAAGGTATGATTTACCTTAGACAAGTGGTTATTTCCCAAATACACTTTTAAGTGAATCTACTTTATATAATTTTTAAACCAGTGCAGGACAAGAGAAATGCTGGAAGTAGCATGTTCTTAGCCGTTTTATGTGCCAAACAAATGAATCCAGAAAAATATAAGTTTTCTACTACTGAGGAAAAATAACTTATGTGTATGTGTTAAATTACTGCCTGATGATAGTTTTAAAATATATTAAAGAGGCAGTTATTAAGTTATCTAACTGGAGAACAGTTTCTCCTCTGCTGGCACAGAGAACACCAATCTAAGACTCATCAGAAACCGAAGCACCTGCTGTCTCGGCAGCCATAAAATAACTGGTGTCTGTATTGGCTTCAGCACTGTGGACTGCCACTGCGTTGTCTGTAATTGCCACGTTTGACCACCAGATGGAAGATCTTTCCAGATTAAACTGAGCCTAGCTTTGAGTGATAAGAGTAGAATCAAGGACACCTGAGTGTGCTTTCCCTCTTTCTTTTGACAGCACAAGCTAAACTCACAAGTGAAACTCAGAAGTGTGTGTGTGTGCGCGTCCATGTACACTAGGGTCATCAGGCCTGGCAGTGGGTGTCTTTACCTGCTGAACCATCTAGTCTGCCCCCAAACTTCTTAAAGAATACATTTAAGAAGCTTCTAATGGAGGCCAGAGAGATGTTCCAGTGGCTAAGAGCATACAGGTCAGGACAGCAGCAAGCATCTTCACCTGCCAAGTCATCCGGCTAGCCCAGGACTTCTTGAAGCATAACTGTTACCCAAGACAACAGCCTCAAGTCATTTTCAGACCTGGGGAGTGCTACATAGAGAATAATAAAGGAATCGTGTGCTTTTTGTTTTTCTCAAGTGTGGAAGGAATTTCTTTGGAAAGATGCCAATGTGAAATCATGAGAATGTACACACAAATAAAGGAAATTACCGAAACTTTGTACAGACGTTTTTGTTTAATCTTCAAGTATTTCTCCCATTTTATAGAGGAAATCTTCAGATGAACTTGATTGAAGATTCAGGAAAGCCTGTCTTTTGTCTAGTGACACATTACCATCTGTTATTAATTCCTCTAATACGTTCTAAAACCATTTATTTTCAAGTTTGGCTGCATTATTAAATCTTCAGCCTGTACAGTCTGAAATACTTGGACCCATGCCCCAAGACTAGAATGTACGGCTTACATGATGTGGAGTTGGCCTAGACATCAGGTTTTTCACATGATTGTCACATGTAGGAGAGTGTGAGGACTAATTCCCTAAATGCTGGTACTCCTAGGACCTGTATTAGCATTGCCTAGGGCCAAATTTATGCATATTTTATGGATTCTCTTTCCAGAGATTCAGATTCAATAGATGTGGCCAGGAACTTTGACCACAGTACTTGACCAATATCTCAGGTTACTTCGGGAATAATTAAGTTTGAGATCTAGACTCAAATTTTAGTGTGCAATACAATTACCTTAGGGGCTTCTAAGAACACAGAATCTTTGTCAAAGCGATCACTGTTTCTGATTAATGTTAATCAGTGATTCTGGTTAATGTTAATGCTACTGGTAAAGAGAGAGCCTTTTAGAAACAACAACAACAACAAAAGTGATACCTCAGATCTGATCTAATGATGTTCCAAAATGTAACATCCTCAATTAACCAACACTGGAAGAAGAATGACCTAAGAACAAGCTTATCTGCTTAGGAGAGGGCTGGGGACTTTTGAAGTAGCCTTGAAGTGAAAAACCTCAAAAAGAGACAAGTATCAATTTGACAAGATTGTCTTTGCTTCCCTGTGAGCTTGACAAGTTTAAAATTAGCTGAGTACCACATTGCCCTGTGAGTATGTCTGAGGGAGATTGTGTTGATTGATAAGGGAGGCTCCCTTCCCTCCTCTATCCCTGCTTGGCAGCATCCATAAACAGTTGCTCTTGGGCTGTATAAGAAATCTAGCTGTGATGTGGGATGTCCTTCTGTATATGTGTTGCTCTTATTGGTTAATAAATAAAGCTACTTTGACCTAAGACAGGGCAGAATATAGCCAGACTGGAAAAGATACATAGAGAGAGTAAGTGGAGTCAAGGGGATACCATGCAGCTGCTGAAGGAGAAAGGCACCTTAATGGTAGGTCACAGTCTTGTGGTAATGTACTGATTAATAGAAATAGGATAATTTAAGATATGGGAATTAGTTAATAAGAAGCCTGAACTAACAGGCTATGTTGCAATTAATATAGTGTGTATGTGATTATTTGGGTCTGGGCATCCAGAAAATGAATAAGCAGTCTACTTTTACATAGCTGAGCATGAGTCAGTG